CGCTAATTTCCGACACGCTGTTTTTCCACCTTTTTTCGTAGCCGACGCTGCCACCGGATTAGCAAATGAGGTGTAATTAAAAATAGAGACACCAGCCGTCTCAAGAGATGCAGGAAACTCGGCGCACACATCCTGCGAATTATTAACGAATTAGTCAAACTAGTCTTAAATTACTCGGAATATTTGTTTCTCATGTTTCTGTTGCGTTTTGGATTATATAGTCACGGTACTCTTACGAGAAATGGAAATAATGATGCAATGTTTTAGTTATTTATTAATAACTTTAAAACTATTTGAGATAATGTATTTTTTCTTTGTGGGAATAATTCAGAATTAAATTATTTATAATATTGTGAAAGAATTTTTGTTTTTAGTATATTGTTCAAAAAGTTACGAGCATTTAAAATTGAATTCTGAGGAAAATATTATTGCAATGTTTTAGTTATTTATTAATAACTTTAAAACTATTTGATATAATTTAATTTTTCTTTTTGCGGCTGATTCAGAATTAAATTGTTTATAACACTGCGAGAGAATTGTTGTTATAAGTTAATTGTGCAGAAAGTTACGAGCATTTAAAGTTGTATTTGGAAAATTTTGAGTAAACTTTTTATACTCCTGTTTGATCCGCAAAAAGTGGTGGGGGAAGATGTGTGTCAAGAAATTCATATGCCCTCACGCGTGCGAGGCTCCAGCACTTGCTTCCCCTCCACTTTTTGCGGGTCGACGAAGTCATGTTAGTTAAAACATTTATAACTCAAGAACGGCTGGTCCGATTTTGATGATCTATGATTTTTTGAATTCATCTCTGTCACGAATAGCAGAATAATCATTAATATATTAAAAATTATGACGTGAAGGCTATTAAATAAGCGATAGAAAGTAGTATAGAGATTCAGTCATAGTTATAGCTAAATAATTAAATCCCAGATGGCGCTAAAGCTGCGTAAATTTAAAATTCACATTTACTTTTCTTATTTTTATCGACTCTTATATAAATACTTACCTTACTATAATAAATTAAGTAATAGCACCGTGACTATATAAGGAAAAGTTCTGGCATCGTTTGCAGTTTGTTGCGCATCGCAAGCCGCCCAGATTATTACCAGTTGCGCATTACGTGCATCGCTAATGGAGGACAATTACGTCCTACGGTTAATTACTATCATCAGCGTGCAGAGAACAAACAACCTCCACCGACCAGCCATACTATGACTGCAACTATAAGCACGCTTTGATCTTGTTAACTTTTTCACAATTTTCGACCAGTCATACATTTAAATTTACGACCACATATAAATTACCAACGAATTGTAGGAAGTACTAATTAAATTCTTTATTTTTTATTCTTTCCGTTGTGCCCGCGTCTAATTTATGGTTCCTGTTATTATGCAAGTTAAACGCGGAGATCTGGCGATCGTACGCGAAGATTGAATTAATTATAAATTATATAATGTGTTTGTTTGTGGAGGTTGGGCTTTTGTTTCAAATGAAGCGAGTGTGATTAGATAATTACATTGATCACACGTTTCGAGTGCGCAATTCGTTTGAGTGCTAGTGGAGAGTGTGAGAGTAATAACGGGTTTTCATTCGATTTTATTCGCATCAATGACAAACCGGTGACGAAGAAGCAGTGAAATCTGATCAATCGAGTTAATCATGTGAAACTGGTAGAGCAGGATGGAAATTTATGCAAAAATTATGTGTGAATAATTTGGTATCACCTGTCAAACGACGGAAACTAGAATATTTTGAAATTTTTTTTAATTTTTGCAATTTTTTACTTTAGTCACGCTCGCCCATAATCAATCTCGTGGTTAAAGTACCGTTTAGCACACTTGATACTTAATATACTATTAGTTTACACTGAGAAATGCCAATTTTTAATAATAATTTTTTTGAATTTTTAAAATTTATAAAAATTCATGTTTTTCAGTCGTTTTTTGCTTATAACTTTGTCAAAAATTGAGCAATTTGAATTTTCGTTCTATCAAAATATTCCTCTTTGAACACACTTTCAAATAAAAATAGATTATAAAATTTTGGGATTGTATTTCTATCAAATTTTTAAGTTTTTAACAAAAAAAAAATTAAAAATTTCTACAAAACACGAAAACTACCAAAAAAATCACGAAAAAATTATGAAAACCTTTCATTACCATTACTACAAAATAAAGAATTACAATTTTTGGCCAAAATATTGCATGCGTGACATAATATTCATATTTTAAACACCTTGTATAACCCAACCGCTGAAATGTATGTAAAATGAACCTAATCAAAGTAAATCTACACGAAATCTAAATATAAATCTAAACCGTGCGGGTAGAGTTTGCGCCCGTCGATGTAATGAATGTAATGATTGCGCCGTCACCACACACAGATGCCCGCCGCTCCCGGGCGCAACAATAAACACACGCTCGGTAAAACGGTGGCATCCGTTCGCTCGGCCGGCTTCATTCGCTTATTCGTTCATTCGGCGCGTTCAATCATTCAATCGAATTATTTATTCACATCAATTTGTCCACCAGCAATAAAATACAATGTGTATACGGACATTTTTAACTTCCTGTATGTGTATATCTGCTTATACAATTCCTCTACCTATGTGAACAATTACGTGCATTCATGATGTTTAGTCGGTCGTAGTTGAGCTTGACGCCGACGCTCGATTACCTAGGTTTTCTAGTCTTTGATGCAGACCGCAAAGTGCCACCAGGTCACCCACTTCGTGTTAACATGCGATGGGTTTCTTACTTGTTACAAGTTAGGCTTAGACTTGGGTCAAAAGCGAGTAAACTATTAGTTTAGTTTACTTGGAAGACAATTATTTGCTATTGTTGAAGGAAAAACACGTAAGAGATACATTTGAATCATGTACATTGTTTTTGTTATTTACTTACTCGAACAATATGGAACAATACACTTGATATAGCACTATAAAATGAAATTGTGTTAGTTACAACGCTTATAACTCAAGAACGGGTGGACAGATTTTGATGATCTAAGATTTATTAGATAGGTTTTTGCCTAGAATAGTAGAATAATTGATAAAATATTGAAAATTATAATATATAAGGTGTTAAATAAGGGATGAAAGTTTTTTTGAAGATTCAATCATAGTTATAGTCAAATAATTGACTCCTAGATGGCGTTAAGTGAATTATTAGCATTTTTCATTTTTTAAATAAAATTTTGAATCTTATTGATCGAATCAATATATACAGGGTCTTGCAAAGTAAAATAAAAATTATTTACATTTTTACTAAAACAGCAGACAAAAGTTAATAAAAAATAAGTGTATATTCCTATATTTCCATTATGCTCGTAATCAATTGAATTACCATAATTTTATTCCGATAACAATCCAAATTGATTCACAATGAATGATTTTACTATAATTCACTATCAATACACCATAATTTCTTACAAAATGAGAATTTATACCACGGTGCTCCGCCCATGCCCACTCCCGCTATTCGTCATTACAACGCATGCGTATATATTGGAATTTAGAACGCGTAACGCATAAAATCTAAGCATGTACCATATTTCAATATTTATTATTCACATTTCCATTTCCACGCTATAGAAATTTAATTGTTGTGTATAAAATATTCCGCCAACAGAAAATGCAACAAAGCGAACTGTTTAGAGATTAAGACAAAAGAAAATCAGGAAAACTTTCACAGAAAATGAATTTATAATCTCACATACTCGGAATATTTATTTATTTATTTATCTTCTTCGTTTCCCTCCTGTGGGAAAGTGAAAGTTGGCTTACTTTGAAAACTGTACCAGGCGTAATTAAAATTAGAATATCGAAAGAAACTTTAGTAAATTTGTAATCTATTACAAGTCGTGAGGTTTGAATGTACTCGTGAGTTCTAACTTCGGACGTTTCTTCCAAGTCGCTTGTGCAAACTCTTGGCGAAGCAATTACGCGCGCGTTGAAAACTTTGGGCGCAAACTGAACCAATATCGAAAGCTAAAACAATCGCGCTGCGGGTACGGAGTAACTGCCGAGAGGTAATTTGAACGAACGGTGTGCGTTAAACGTTTTACGATGTTTATAAATGGTCAGTCGTTTCATTGCCGACTAGAAAACCAGCGAACAGCTACTGAACTTCGGCATACATTTCGAAGAGTGCAAAAAATGTTAGTAAAGTCATTTTCAAGCTTCCAAAATTGGATTTAAGTTTAGCGTAAAATTTTACTGAGATTTTGATTAGGCAACCCGTTTTGCATGATTTTTTGAAATTATTGTTTTAGTATTGTGTTCGTTGTGTAGTCTACGTTAACAAACGTTTCCGAAATTAGTTTTACTTGCGTTTATTATAATTTTTACTAAAATTTTAAGAATGCAACCAGTTTTGCGTGTTTTTCTAAAAATATTGTGTTATTTTACTCGTAATGTAGAGCTAAAGTGCTTTTTAAACTTTCAAAATTGAATTTTTCCGTATTTAGCTTCAAATTTCTCTGAGTTTTAAGTATGCAACCAGTTTGGCATGTTTTATTCCCAAAAATATTCTTTTATTTTAATGTTGTGTGTGTAGACTATGTTAACTAAAGAAAATTAAGCACACATTTTTAAAATTGTAAAGGATTTTGCAACATTCCAAAATTTGTTCTAATTTTGTTTACATTAAAATTTTAGCAGAGATTTTAATTATGCAACCAGTTTAGCATGTTTTTCCTAAAATATTCTGTTATTTTAGTGCTGTGTGTGTAGGCTACGTTAACTAAGGAAAATTCCACTGTTGTAAATATTTCTGTTCGGTATGCGGCGGCAAATTTGCTAATTAAAAACGATTCTCCGTACTAAATTACATCTCTCGCTTTGTATACACTACAACGTAAAAAAAGTAACGAATGTGCATTAACTCAATGCGACGCGCGACCAATTAACCACATTTATCGCATAACAAGCATGCCATTTCATTGTCGTACTGTTTTTCTTTCCCCGGCCGCCATTTTTAATGCAATTGCTTTCGTTTCAGATAACAATGCAGTGGACAAAGCGTCGCTTGAAGTACTGAACGATTACAACTCATTTTTATCAGTATTATATTCGATTTGATTGAAATTCAAAACAAAAAAGAATTTTGTGTTCACGATGGGGGTGAAGTTCCATCGCAGAATATCGCCGAAGGTGTTCGTCATGTGTGGCGTTGGCCTCACGGTATTATTATGTCTGTATTACGTGAATTGCGGAAGTGGGTGTTCATCCCCCAACGGCACCGCTGATACACTGCAAAGACATAATGTGGACGCTTTGATTAGCGTCGGGAGGAGTGCCAACGACGACGTAGACGAAAATAATCACTCTAATAATGGCAAGGCAAGCAGAGCCGCCATCTTGATGGAGAAGAAGGTGCGAGAAAGAGTGCAGTGTTTACCAATGGAGAAAAACGACGCCGATGTGAATACCATCGAAGTATTTAAAGGATTTGATTTTCAAGTAAGTGAAAACACGTGTTGTAGTGAGGTTAGAGTGAATTCCGGCAGTGTTGCCAACTTAAATGTTAAAATGTCACTTTAAAATCAAATTCCCTGTACACGCGTACAAAGGAAAGTGGTGAATTAAATTCCATGCGCTTTTTTCTCCACGACAATTTGAAATGTAAAATTGCGAAACAGGACGGAACCGGAATTGGAAGAGTGCGAAATAAAGAATGCCGACAAACGTGTACTCCGCGACGCCCTCCGGAGAATTCATCCAGAAAATGTTCCGAGCGCGTTTGCCTGCGTCTACTTCGGCCGAAAGCAATTTGCAAGACGTGCATTCACTTTGTATGAATGTTCTTCTCGGTTTCGAATTTTCTGCAACCAACACACACACACACACATGTTTCATACTGCCGGGAAGCAGCTAAAAGCATTCCGGCTTCGTGTTCCGCTTCATTTCGTCGCACGGCGAATCGATGAGCGTAATGACTTCAACTCGCAGGCAAATTTAATCGAAAACTAGCGCAGCCCAAACACAGGCAACCCAATTAACGCCGCCATTCGGGTAGCCGTGAAGACGGGAAATAATCGTAAATGAATTTTACTCCGCACTCTCGCCGGCGTACGCGTTCCATTTGTTAATTAAACTTTAAACCGCGCCGCGCTCGACTCGACTCTATATCGACAGGCGCATCGAAAACTTTACCACTTAATAAAAGCGAACTTTTAAAAACTTTAGACTCGCAGACACTTAATTGCACGACAAGTTAATTAGATTTAGTGCAACTAGTATAAAATTGATTGAATTTCCAGCCTGGATGGATGAAAATGAAAGAATACTGGGATAAACAGTTTGAGGATAGGTTTGAGAAGCAAAAGATGGACGCCGATCGACCACCATTGAAGGTTATCATCGTTCCGCACTCACATAACGACCCCGGATGGTTGAAAACCTTCGAGAATTACTTCCATTATCAATCTCGGCCGATCATGTCGAATATGGTGACGAAGCTGCAACAGCACAAGAATCTAACCTTTATTTGGTCAGAGGTGGCGTTTCTGAACGCTTGGTGGGAAGTTGCGCATCCTAGTAAACAGAGGGCGCTGCGACAACTCGCACAGAGTGGACGTTTGGAAATTACAACCGGTGGATGGGTTATGACTGACGAAGCAAACTCACATATGTACGCTATTATTGATCAACTGATTGAAGGTAACCTAAAAATATTTGTTTTGTGTTTAGAAGTTGAATAAATTTGTTATTTTCAGGTCATCAATGGTTACATTCAAATTTAGGCATAAAACCAAAATCAGGATGGTCCATTGATCCATTCGGTCATGGTAATACAGTTCCCTACCTCCTGAAATCTTCCGGTATTGAAGGTACAGTCATCCAACGTATCCACTACGCATGGAAGCAGTGGTTGGCATGGAAACAATATGGTGACTTCCGGTGGCAACCCAACTGGGCCCCATCCGACTCCACGGGACATATCTTAACACATAATCAACCTTTTGACATTTATTCCATCAAACACAGCTGTGGCCCACATCCGTACGTCTGCCTCAACTTTGACTTCCGGAAAGTACCCGGCGAGTTCACCGAGTACTCCGTAAAAGCACAAAATATCACCCAGCACAATGTTAAGGAAAAAGCCGAACTCCTGCTTGAACAATACGCGCGCACCGGAAGTCTCTTCACTCACAACGTGGTACTCATGCCGCTCGGCGACGACTTCCGGTATAATGTGGTTGAGGAATGGGACCAGCAGTATAATAATTACATGAAGTTGATCAACTACATAAACGAGCATAAACACATATATAAAACGGAAATCGCGTTTGGTACACCGCGTGATTATTTCGAATCAATTTTGAATCGCACGAAAATGGCGGAGTTTCCGAGTTTACAGGGTGATTTCTTTGTGTACTCGGACATATTCTCTGAAGGACGCCCGGCGTACTGGTCGGGATACTTCACGACGCGTCCCTTTATGAAAATCTTGGATCGGGAACTTGAGAATTCTTTACGCGCGTCCGAGATTCTCTACACGCTGGCGATCAACGGCGCGAGACAGAAGAAACTTCTGCCGCACCTGAAGGTACTCGAGAGGGACTATGAAAAGCTCGTTATCGCGCGGAGAAACTTGGGATTGTTCCAGCATCACGACGCAATCACCGGCACTTCGAAATCGTTCGTCATGCGGGACTACGGGCTGAAATTGTTTGAAAGTCTGCGTGATACAGTGAAAATCCAACAGAATGCTTTACAAACCATTATTTTCGGTACCGAGAGCAACACTCCATTGAAAACCGAGCGGAATATTCTATTAAGTGACCTTGAACGCGACGCGTATGAAAAACTACCAAAGAAAACCATCATTATTCTTGAACCGGGCAAAAGTCGCAAGTTGGTTTTGTTCAATTCAGTTGCCCAGGAACAAAATCAACTTGTACAGGTTAGGATTAATACATTTAATGTAAAAGTCTACGATAATGATGGTAAAGAAGTTGCCTACCAGATAAATCCAGTCTGGAATAGTTTAGAAGGCAATACAAAAATGCATATTTCCGATGACGAATACGAATTGATATTCATAGCGAAAATTCCCGGTTTAACCATTGTCTCATACAATTTGGTGCATGCCAAAGGCACAAAAGGCAAGATGTCGTTGATTTACTGCAACAAATGCCACCGAAAACAGTTCCAGGAGACCAGCCCCTTCCTACCGACGAAATTCCTACTGAAGAACACACAAAATGGCGACGTGCAGCTAGAGAATACCAAGTTACGCATACTCTTCAACGGTTTAACTGGCTTCATGAAATCCGTCACGCGAAAGAGTACAAAGAAAACTGTCCAGTGCGGCATTCAATTCGCTGCGTATCGCAGCGCGCAGTTTCACTCGGGCGCATATCTCTTCATGCCGGATCCAAGCGAGAATGACATCGAAAAGGACGTGCTGCAACAGTACCGTGAACAAATGAGCATCATCATTACTTCCGGCGGCGTTTCCAGCGACATTTCAATCATTTACGGTCCATTCTTGGTGCATACTGTACGAATATTCCATATTGAAGCGTTAAGCGATGCGATTTGGATTGAGAACGATGTGGATTTTGAAAATCCGCCGAAAAATCGCGAAACTGAGCTGTTTATGCGATTGATTACTGAAGTACAAAATGGCGAACCGCCTGAGTTCTATACTGATAGTAATGGCTTCTCGATGCAACGTAGAATAAAAGTAGAACGTATTGGTATCGAGGGTAATTACTTCCTATAACAACACAGGCGTTTATTCAAGATGAAGCATTAAGAGTGACTTTACTTACGAACCACGCGCAAGGCGCTGCTTCCTGGCAGCCTGGCTTTTTAGAGGTTATGTTGGACCGCCGTACGCTTTATGATGATTCCCGTGGAATGGGCGAAGGTGTAGTGGACAACCGGAAGACAACACATAAATTCTGGTTACTTTTAGAAGATGTCTTACCTACACCAGGTGGCGCTTCAGCTCGTAATCGTTTTGACGACTATGAAACCGTACGGAACTTTAACATTAACCCCGCTGAAGTAGACGAAGCACAAAAAGCTTCAACTAATACACGAAACTACGTTAGTCCAAGTTTATACTCTAATCATCTGTCACACGGCTTAAATTATCCCTATGGAGTATTTATTTTGGAAGACACCGCTGAATTGAATGACACTACTATTCAACTGGCGGATGAAATTCCCTGTGATGTGCATGTGGTAACACTGCGTACACAACCAGATCCGGTGTATACGCAGTTCCCCGCCAACAGCGCCCTCTTTGTTTTGCATCGTGAGGGTTATGCGTGCAATGTTAACCTCAACTATACGTGTCCCAAAGGTACTTTCCAGAAGGGAGATACGTTTGGTCCTGCGCAGATTTCGGAGGTGCAAAAGACCAGCCTCACTGGTCTGGACAAACAAGGTCAGCCATTCAAGGAATTCTCGGGGATAGAGATCACTTCGATGGGAATTCAGACTTATAACATTACATTTGCCTAAGGTTATTACTTTGGAAAGATTGTTAAACGGAAAGGAAAGACTTAAAAGTGTACTAGTGCATTTGATGACTGATTTATTTATGCTTGCGAGAGGGACACACTGTATGTGGTGTATGTTCAGTACGTTAAAGTTTTTTGTATAAAAGTTAGGCGAAATCTAGCGCGATTGTTAGTTACTAGGTTTAGGCTATTTGTAAATAGAAATTTTACTATTTTAAAACCTTGATATATATTTAAATATTTATGCGGATATAAGAAACAAAAGATTGAAGTATAATATATGTGTCTGTCTGATGTGTGTAACGTTTTGTAATTTGTTTAGTTCAAAGTGAAGTTTGTTAGCAAATCATGAGTCATTTACGTCACTTGTAAATCAATAAATTCCATTCCTGATTGAAATATTAGTATACATGAGAAACAAACAACTCCATGCGTAAAACGGTTGTAAATTGTAAATAACATGTTGTTTTCTAAGAAAATATTCTAGGGATTTTCGTTTGACGTTTGACAGCTGGTTATTCAACTAAAACTTTATTTTACTTGTTATAAAACAAGTTTTTGGGGCTTTTACAAGTGTTTTCTAATTGTTAATAGTTTCTTCTGTGTATTTTTACTTATTTTATTACAAAATTAACTAAATTCAATTCAAATTTCGCTGATTTTACACATGAATATCATTTGAAGGTTATTCCAATAACTGTCAAAATACAACAGCTGCTGTCAAACATTCCCCCAAAAAAGCAATCATCATTAGCAGTAGTGCGCGTAGTGAGTAAACAGCGTAAAATGTAAAACGCAACATAAACAACTACTCTCCCCTAATTTAATTTAATTCAGTCGTGTTCGCTGAGTTCCGTCGAGCGGGCGCGTTATCTTGTTAGTCGAACGTCGTCATGCCGCGTCTGATCTTCCCAACGTCGAAGTCGGCCGCGGCGAAGAAGAACCACTGTTCTTCGCAATGATTCACCCAACGGCGGCTTCCAAACAATCCCCGAGTGCCAAAAATCCCAGCGACGGTCATGACGACACGCGTTCGACGCCGCGGCTAATTAATTCCGGGCGGAACAAGTGAAGCACGACGCACATTTACATAACGCACTTGCAACAGCGGCCAAAAACGCCATACCGTATTCGTTAGTTTTTAAGACACTCAACGATTACCTGAACGGGTAGAATATGTTGTCTCCTGGGGTGCGTATTGTTAGAGGTCCGGATTGGAGTTGGGCCAATCAAGGTAAGAAGAAACATTCTAACCAATAGAAAATTAGATGAAAAGTAAACAAGAGCAGAAACAAATGAACATCAATTGTGAAATATGATAGAATTAAAACTACTTAAAAATTATGCATACTCATATTGCAAAAACTATGTGCATTTGTCTTGCACACATGATTAAACAGTTTTAGACTGCATTTAATTACTTGTTTATTATTTTATTAAACATATTCAATATCAAAGTTGTTTACATTGTGATTTTGACACTTTTCCAATTTCAGATGGTGGTGAAGGAAATGTGGGCACAGTATGTGAGATTGGCAAGTCCGGAGCGCCCGCACGAACCTCTCCAGATAAGACAGTGGTGGTTCAATGGGACAATGGATCGCGGACGAACTACCGAGTGGGATACCTTGGCATGTATGATCTGCGTGTGATTGACAACGCACAAATCGGCGTCAAGCACCCGAATATCGTCTGTGATGGTTGCAAGAGTCAAGGCATCTCGGGCATCAGATACAAATGTGCCACTTGCTTTGACTACGACTTGTGTTATGTTTGTTACCATAATGATAAACATGACATAAATCATCCTTTTAAAAGATTTGACTTAGCTTCTTCTTTAGGGTAAGTTTTTTATCAAAAAAATAAAATTTTGTTGTGATTTTATGTGATTTTATTGTTTTTGTGTTTAGAGTTGATTTAAGTCTTCGTACACACGCACGCAAGGTTGAAATCAAAGGCATCTTTGCTGGTGCAAAGGTAGTAAGAGGTTACAACTGGGAATGGGGTGATCAAGATGGCGGCGATGGTAAACCCGGGAAAGTTCTGGATATTCGCGGCTGGGACAACGAATCATGCCGATCAGTCGCGAATGTCGCATGGTTTTCAGGCTCAACGAATGTGTACCGTCTCGGGCACAAAGGTAACTGCGATATTAAATGTGTGGAAGCCGCCAGTGGTGGCTTCTACTACCCGGAGCATCTTCCTGTCCTGGGTCAAAACATCGAAACGGCTGTGGCGCTACCAAGTCGCCAGGGCCCGCCTCCATTCAGCGTCGGCGATAAAGTACAAGTCATCGTAAGCGTTGAACAGTTGAAATTCATGCAGCAGGGCCATGGCGGTTGGAATCCCAAAATGGCGGAATCCATCGGTAAGGTAGGAACCGTTCACAGAGTCACTGATAAAGGCGATATTCGAGTCCAGTATGAAGGTTTGAATCGTTGGACTTACAATCCGGCTAGTCTTGCGAAAGTCAACAGTTTCGCAATCGGTGATATTGTATCCGTCATAAACGACGCTGGTAAAGTAAAAGAATTACAGCGAGGTCACGGGGAGTGGATTGACGTGATGCGCAATGCACTTGGTAAACTTGGTAAAATCATCAAAGTCTACTCGGACGGTGACCTTCGAGTTCAGATAAACGGACAGGCATGGACCTTAAATCCGCAGTGTGTGAGAGTTGTACCAGGGAGCGCTGCTGAACTAGATAATTCAATGGACGCTTCGCAGAATCAACGCAGAGAGCCATCTATGTTATGGCCGCCTGCAAGTACAAACTCATGTACTTCAGGTAACGGCAGCGGAGTTGAAGAGCAGTTGGTTAAGGCCGCCGCGCAGGGTCAAATTGATACTGTGCGGCGGATTTTGGAAGAGTCCAGGTTAACACGCTCACCAAACATTGTCACTGCAGTGGATTTACGAAATGGTGGCAAAACAGCTCTGCAGGTTGCCTCTCATCAAGGTCATGTAGCTATTGTGAGTCTGTTAATTCAAGCTGGCGCAGATGTTAACGTTAGAGATAACGATGGCGATACTTGTTTGCATTACGCTGCATTCGGCAACCAACCAGAGATCCTGGATATTTTAATTAAAGCAGGCGCTAATCTGGATGTGGCGAATAAGGGTGGTTGTACTGCGTTGCATATAGCCGCGCATAAGCATCCAGCGCGAGCGATTCAAATCTTATTAGCAGCAGGCGCCGATCCCAACTGTACTGATTGTTATGGGGATACCGCGCTGCACGACGCCATTGGTAAGGATAGCAAACAAGTCATTGAGCTGCTATGCGCTGCCGCCGGCACAGACTTTACGCTTAGGAATAAGCGTGGATTTAATGTGTTACATCATGCGGCGCTCAAGGGTAAAGCATTCGCGACGAGTAAATTGTTATCGCAAGCGCGGCAACTTGTCGATGTGAAGAAAGACGATGGGTTTTCGGCGCTGCACTTGGCAGCGTTGAATGGCCACGTGGAGGTGGTGGAGATTCTAGTCAGGCAGGGACAGGCCGATATTGATTTGCGTAATAATCGCAATCAGTCTGCGCTGTTACTCGCTGTGAGTCAAGGACACTATGGAGTAATTGAGTTGCTTGTGAGGCTTAAGGCGAATATCAACGCGAAAGATGAAGATGGCGACACTGCGCTTCATATTGTCCTTATAAAAAGATCGCAAATTACTTCGGGAGTGAGGGGTGATGATGCTCCTGCTATTCATTCTATTTATCAGAATATTCAGGTGGCTGAACATAGAGCCGCCATTGCCATAGCATGCTATTTGATTCAGCAAGGTATTGATATGGATGCTTTGAACGCGAAGAGTCAGGCTGCGTTGGGATTGTTGCAGGATAGCAATATGCAAGAGTTGTTGAAGAGTTATAAACCTATTGTGGATAGTAATCAGATGCAGAATAGTATTGGCGATGTTACCACTTCATCACAGAATGAGCGCGCGATTGACGGTTATAATTTAACCGAAAACGCTCGGAATAGTCCGATTGTTACCAGAATTGAGGAACCTAAAAGTAAGTTACTCATATTATGAATATTTATAAAGTAAAAATTTTATAAAAATGTTTAGATTCACGGCGAAGTCGAAAGACTGACGATAAAAACATCGAACTGGGCAATTCCTCCCAGGAAAACTCTCCGAATCACAAAAATCATCACTACCAAAACGAAATTGTCAGCGTGAGTAGTAAACCCGTCGAATGCTTAGTCTGTTCGGAGTTGTCCGAAGAGAACGTCCGATTGGAGCCGTGCAATCACAAACCCGCCTGTGAGGATTGCTCCTCGCGCATGAAGAAGTGTCTTAAGTGCAGCGCGCCTGTCCAGAAGCGCATCACCAAAGATGGCCGCGTGATTCCAGCGAAAAGTAGGCAACCAAGTGCTGAAAGAATGAGGTAAACTTTTCTCATGTTAAACATAACCTGCAAATTGAATTTGTACATTTTGAATTTTCAGATATCTGGAATGTAAAATAGCTGAAATCGAAGAAAGTCACGCGTGCAGTATATGCATGGAGAGGAAGCGCAATGTTGTGTTCCTCTGCGGGCATGGCACATGCTCGAAATGCGCCGACACCCTGAAGATCTGCCATATGTGCAGGAAGACTATTACCAAAAAGATACCGATCTACTAGAATCTAACAAATCTAGATCCTAGGCGTAGTTGGCTAGCATCTAGGTTAGACTTCCTTTTAGTTGTTAGTCCTACCCTTTCTTAAGCAGCCGAAATAACTTAATTAAGTATTTATATGCGCATTGTACGCGATATCTATGAGGAAACAGAAAAAGACGAATCAAACTTATATACATACATAATTCTATTTACAAAACAAACTAAAAGAATGTTTAGATTATATTTGCTAAGGTTTGCTACGATGATGGAAGGTGAAGATCTTTCGAAACACTGCCTCAAGGATTGTTCTGTCCAGTATTTGAACTTTTCTACTTATTTAATGTTTACGCTATACGCCAGTGCTATCAAACCGTCGATATTTATTTTCCTTTGCTGCTCGGCACAAAATGACTATTTTTACTATGATTATGAATTTTATTTATTTCTGTTTCTGTGATTTATTGTATGGACTGTTGTCTTCTCACCCAAGTTTGGAACGCACACGTATCCAGGTCGAAATATCATTAAGTTTTTGAACATATTGTATAAAAGTTAGGGGTAGATCGATAGAGAGTTTAGAATGATGTCTTCGAAATTAAATCAAACATCTTGATCAAACGCAGGTGTTAAGTAAAGTATTACTGCAAGAGAGTTGTACTCCAAATATGAATATTTCTGGAATCTTGTGAATGAAGTTGAGCTAATCTAATCGAAAATGCGTTTTGGTGAGTTACTTGATGTTTCATTGATTTTCTGCAGGTAACGAACAAAGCATGAAGGAGAAATGATGATTAGAGAGCAAATATGTTTCTGATTTGTATAAAAAATAAATTAAAGTGATGAAAAACTCTAAAATACTGCATAACGGACAAAACTTCTATTTTTAGTGCACAGAACACACTTTTTTGTTTTTAATTAATATCCAAATGTAGTTAATAATTGAGGTTATGTAATCACATCGCAATTTTCGTGTTTGTTTTGAAAAGTAATTCAAATTTTAATCACAGGAGAAAGAATACAAAAGTGATTAGCACTGTTCATTTGTCGCTTCCAAATTAAACATGCGCGAAACAAAACTTTATTTTCTATAGTAAATTAACATGCCAATATACCAACCATTACAGTTATGTATGTATGGTTGCCTAGTTTTCCTTTAAACCATACCAGCAGATGTTACCATTCAAATCGCGTTTGAATATCTAACAGAACACTGCTTTAAACAAAACATGATACATATTCTTAAAAACGAACAAATGATCCATTAAACAACAGTTCACTGTTTATTTGTTTCATAGATACAATTGAACAATAGCACACTGTCTCTATAATTTGTAAGAAACAGGAATTTCTGTTTTAACTGTGTTTGTTAAACTTAATATTAACGCAACGCACTCCAGCATGCCGCGCAGACCAATTTAACCGAACACGATAGTTGCACATTCATGGCATGCAAAAGCTGGAAATATGCAACTCTCGGATGATATGATGTGGTACCGCATGCGGAGCACAACTTTGTTAATCTACCACCACCACTACCGGTATCGCCACAGGTATGAAGTGTGTGGAGGTAGTAGGTAAAAAGGTATGGATCGGTAATACCATGACTACCAACGTCACCTTCTCGTCTTTCTGCTAGCCTGATACTTTGGACGGGGTACCATCATCTAGCATCAAGCATACCATGCGAAGAACAACGTTTCATGGTACCCCAAGTGCCATGGGACCCAATATAGACATACCATACCATCACATCACATATTATTTATTATTTTATGTTTTAACATTAGTCTGTGTATAACATTAGAAAATGGTGACCCTAGGGTCGCACATCTGTTGCATTTATTTAATCGCTGGATGCATGCAACCATAAACATCCACATGGGATGAATATGCAATGCAACAACACGACGTACCTTGAGCATACATACCATCATCGCTCATATTGACCAGGTTGACTCACCAGCTCGCCACATATTCGTATTCGGATGGTAACAAACAATCGGTCGTCATAGCAACCGACAATAACAGCGCCGCGGCATACCTTATACCGCGTAGAGGTGTAACCGGGGTACCACCGCATCGGCATGCAGTTCACAACTCATTTCACTTTCATCTCGCGTCTTTCGCGGTTCCGTGCGTTCGCGCTCCAGCTATACATGTACTCTTTTACGTAACAAACAAATCTTTTAATACAGTGTGACATGTTATAAGTAGATTAAAATAGTGTACACGTGTGCCGTAATATATTGTGCCTAATAATCAATAAGTGAAACAAAGAAAACGGAATTATAGTGCCAAAACATGTGCCACAATAAGTTTTAAGTAATCTTTGTTTATTTACTTCATAATATCGAAGAATATCGAATAACAAATGTTTTGACCGTGATGATAACAACGTTTTTATGTTTGAATGTTAATTTATTCATGCGGCAATGAAATAACTATGGCTGTACATCATCGTCACGTTCGTCATTTGTTTGACCATTTGTTTTGTTTATACACATCTCCAGCGTCTCAAAATATCAATTTTAACATTGCTTTCTATTTGGTTTTTTCATTTGCTTGTCAATTTTTGTGTTTTGTATTAGCACAGGTAGCATAAAGTTAAACATAAATTAAAAATAGATAACCATTGATTACGTCATGCGCATGTAACTTAACATGACTTAAAAGTTGACTTAAAACACGACTTGCAAATTGTAACGACAAACGACAAACGCAAACGACGAAATCAAATGTGAAACCTGCCTGTTTCAATTGTTGCATAAACATAATGGTAAATTTTAAGAGTTGGCAATGAGTTTCCAATGCGGCACTCAGCGCCATTTTAATTGTGTAACGCACATTCTTGAAAACCACCCACAATCTAACAGAAAAATTCATATTAACAGAATTACCAGTCATAACAAGTCATAACCTGTGCGTGGCGGATTAGTATAAATTGTTACTAACAGTTGTTCATGATTTCCAGGTACCTACCACCTAATGATAGAGAATTAATCGCGTTAATTGAACGTTTGCGCGCGAAAAATTAATCGAATGAAATAGGCGTGTGCGGCGCGCAACCAAATTTGGCAAATGGAAGGTAAAATCTCACACAGTGGGCTCCTGGCGCGCAGTCCCGAAGGACACGCCGCCCGTGGAATGCAAATCAAAGGTGAGCCTCAGCATAAACAAACACATTAATATTCAACTACCTGTGTAGAGTTTCTCAATACATCAATACAACAACATTTTACGGCACGGTCCAATTCATATTGAATTATGCATAAATTAATCGCCATTCATCTTTCAAAAATGGCATGCGGAACATATGTGAATGAATGAATCGAATTTTTATTGTTTCCTCCGCAGGAAACGAAGATGTCTGGGTGGAAATTCAAGCAAACACATTCAGAAACTGGGTGAATGAGAATCTCCCCGGTGATTTACGTGTCGTGGACCTATCGCAGGACCTTTGCAGTGGTGTACGTCTTTGTACTTTAGTGGAAAAACTGCAGGGACATGCAATTCGGCCATCTTGGAACCGACGACCAATGAATCAACATCATCATTTGGAAAATGTCACATGTGCATTGAATGCCATTGAACAAGATGGCGTCAAGTTGGTTAACATCGGTAAGTAATCAATTTAAATTGACAAATCAACAGGTGTTTCTAGAATTGTTATTATATTAATATTAATAATTCATTATACAATTACAATATATTAATAAGTTGTGGTTGCTCGCGTTTTTTATTTTCAAGTTTAAAGCGTTTAAATCTGTCGAAGCGTAGGTGCAACACACGCGATCGGCGACAAAACAGTGAAAAAAAAGAGTCTCGCGACGCGCTCCAGTGGGAGATTTCAAGGCGACGCGGCCTGCAGCCTCGACCCGCATTACGTAAAACTACAGAAAAAATCGTCGATAGATAAACAATGCCATGGCGGAACGCGAAAAACAGAGCGCATGACCATAGTTGACAAATGACATCGACACAAACACGTGGTGTTTGGTAACAGTCGTAAATCTTGTAAATTTCAAGTTCAATTCGAAGTAAATCTGATTAAATCATTATGAATAAGCGAGTGTGATGATGGTGTAATGGTTAAAGAATTAAAATACTTATAAATAATGAAAGTATGTTAGTGTTAGGTTGATGTTTGGTGTATTATTGATGAGTTAGCAAGTGCGATGGTGGTGTAATGGTCAGCATAGTTGCCTTCCAAGCAGTTGATCCGGGTTCGATTCCCGGCCATCGCAGTTGTTTTTTAATTTTTATTCTCACATTTCTCATGAATTGATTAAATTTTATTATTATTGCGTTTATTTTATATAGAAAATTAGTAACAATCCATAAAAATTGTAAAATTGTATATTTTACGGAATTAAAATAAAAATTACGTCTTTAAACATGAAGGAGAGCTGCAACACTCATCACCTTCGATAGCTCAGTTGGTAGAGCGGTGGACTGTAGAACGTTTACAATATAGAAATCCATAGGTCGCTGGTTCAAATCCGGCTCGAAGGAAACTTTTTCTTAAATTTCATTACATTTAACATATTTTTTACATTTCTATGAAAATTTTGCAAACCTACATTTATCAGATTACGAAACCTGCTATTATTTACCTATTAATTACACTAACGCCTAGGTGTGCATTTACAGTTGTATTAACAATGAAAACTACGAAAACATTACACAGTGATTGTCGTCCATTGTTTTCGAAATTAATGTGAGAAACACTCTGCGCGAGAGTCGTTCTCTATTCATTCTATTATGATGATGACATTACACATTAGACGATGTAAATTCTAAATTGAATTATGTGTTCTTTTACTTTATAGAAAAATAAATTAAATTTACGTGAATAAAACACGTTTAAAAAAAGCATCCGAGGAGAAATTTCTCTCAGAACTAATTTTGCGTCTCTTAAGAGTCAAGTCAACGTTCAAAGTGAAAGTTCTTTAACTTTACCATTTCCCTTGCGACTCTCTGTAACTTCATGGCTTGTTATTATTTATTAATCGAATCGAAACGAAAGTTTGAATATTACATAACACAATGTTTTGTTTATGCAGGTAACACAGATATTGTCAACGGCAACTTAAAATTAATCCTGGGATTGATTTGGTCATTGATTGTTCGATATCAAATCGGAAGATCTAAGTTCCCTCCGAGGAAATTGATGCTCGCCTGGTTGCAGGCTGTATTACCAGAATGCAAAGTTCACAATTTGACCACCGATTGGAATTCGGGTGTTTTGTTAGCTGCCCTGGTTGATTACTGCCGACCTGGGTTGTTCCCACATTGGAGGAGTCTTGATAAACACAATGCTATTGATAACTGTCGACAAGCCATGCGGATTGCTCACCAGGAACTTGGAATTCCAGCTGTTTTGGAACCAGAGTATTTAGCGTCACCCTGGTTGGATGAGTTGTCTGGGATGACTTATCTGTCATATTTTATGAAACCTGGATCTCCTGGTTTCTATGCTACCTTGCGATGGGTTAATTCTAGGTTGAACAGACCTATTGAGAATTTTACGGTAGGCAACTTCACATGCAATGAGGAAATTATGTTTATTTTAATTTTATTTGTATTATAGTCTAATTGGAATGATGGTAAAGCCATATCTGAAGTGATAAGATCTTTGGGTGGGTCAGCGGTTGCTCCCGAGAAGCTCCGCAGTGAACAAGCTTACTGGGAGACCAATTTAACTCAAGCAGTTGAAGCTGGTAAACGTTTAGGTGTCCAACCTGTTTTATCTGCTAAGGACATGGCTGATATCAATGTGGAACATCTTGGAGTGATGGCCTACGCTGCCTACTTTCAATGGGTACCAGAACGTCCTCCAATGCATGACCTTATCAAGGTTAAAATTGATTCCACGTCTGGTAGAGTTGGTGAAACTGTACGTTTCTGATTTTATTTTAAAACAAAATTTTAAACTGATATTTTATTATAGACGCATTATCAAGTTACCATTTTGGACAACTCATTGTCCTACCACAAACTTACCACGGAGATTAGAGGACCCGATTCCAAGGTGTACCCACAAAAGAACCTCTCGAATGGTCACGGAGAGTTTGTCCCTCAAAAATGGGCATGCATGAGATTATTGTTTTGTATGATAGAGAAGAAGTATCATCTAAACATTACTTCAGAGCTCTACCACCTTTGGTTGAAGTGGAAGCACCTGGTATGGCTCCGTGTGCCTTGGGATCTTTGGTTCAAGTCCTTGTTAATGCCACAGGTGCCCCTCGAAGGGAAGACATCTTAGTGACAGCTTACAGTCCAGGTGGAAGACCTTTAGAATGTCCTCTTCATACCATTGATGGTACCAACACTGCTACGTTCAAACCAGATGAAGCTGGTGAATGGCGTATTGAAATTACCTATCAGGGTAAACAGATCCAAGGTGGACCATTTACTTGCGCTGTATTTGACCCCAATGGAGTAGTGGTTTCTGGTTTAGAAGGTGCTCTACCAATGGTACCACATGCCATAGATTTAGACTGTAGAGATGTCTGTGTACCTGGTGAAGTCTACGCTGATGTGGTCCACGATAAAAAGTCTATTCACACGCGTATGGAACGAGTTGATCATGAGGGTTATCTTCATAGAGTCCATTTTACTCCTGAATACCCAGGTAAACACCGGGTGTATGTTTATTTCAATGGATATGACGTTAAGGGAAGTCCATTCATGATGCGTGTTGGTACCCAAAAGAAGAGCAAATCTTTAACTCCAAGTCAACTTCACAATTTGTCTGCTAGTCCAGTGACCACTTTACAAGCAGCTAACTTAAACAGTCCCATTACGAATAAAAACATTCGACAGATGACAGCTAGTCCTATCTTTGGACATGGTGGTTATGGAACTCATCAAGGACATCAAATAACCCAAACGGATTATGCTAATATGCATTCATCCAGGTTGACAGAAAGAAGAATGTCTTCACCAACAGTGGAAACAGCTTACATTCCAAGGGCTTCTAGTCCTTCCCTTGCTCCTAGGACACAGAGTCCTACTTTTAGACCTACCAGTCCCAATTTCCGTCCATTGAGCCCACGTCCTCAAAGCCCTTCATTGTATCTGGCTGGTAAAAAAGTTAACCAATCCGGGGAGTATAGAGATTATCGCACAAATGAACCAATTCCACGTTTGGCGAAGAAAGAAAGGGAATATGAAAGTACTTATATGAAGTCATCATCTCTTGGGTTCCAAGGACATCAATCCGAACGACAAGAACGACAGGAACGTCAAGAATCCCGGAATTACTTAACCTCAAAATTGCAATCAATGAGAGTAGAAAGCCCTAATCCGTATAGCTATGGAGGACGGGATACGCCTGATAGAGATGTTGAACGTTTTGATACATCTACACCTTTGATCAAAATCAATGATTCCGGGTCACCTCGTCTTGGAAGTTGGGATGCCATTAAAAGAACTGGTGTTACAAACAGTCAGAGTTATTCTTCAATGGAGGAGAATCATGAGTCAAGATATGAAAGTAAAAATTATGGGTTTCGTAGTTTAGGGAAAACTGGAGCTGATGCTGTGAGGGTTTCTCCGATCCCGGATGGTGTCATTGGTCAACCAGTAGAATTTGATAGTATGTCTTTTAAAATTATTTTAAAAAATCAACTAAAAATTGGTTTCTTTTATAAATTAATAGTTGATGGTTCCGGGGCTGGTTCAGGAGACTTGGAGATTCTCGTGGAAGGAGGTAAGGTCACCTCGAGTGTAAAATCACTTGGTGGGCAGCGTTTCAAGGCTGCTTTCACCCCACATCAGGCGTTGCCCCATCGGGTCGACATCAGCTTCAATGGGGAGACGGTCCCTGGTAAGTGCTGACGCTTTTTTGCATTTTTGCAATTTGCTCTTTGAACAAAACCATTTTCCAATTATGTGGTTTTTTAAATTGCTTATTGCTTGTTTGGCTTTGGTGGCATGAATTCTACCATTAACGGATTTGCTCGTCATGTTGATTTAATTTAAACCACGCGTTTAGTGTTTAAATCTCAAACAGTATTACGTATTTAAATGCTCTTGTTCGTTGCGCTGATGAACGTGAGACGAACGCCTCGAAACGCTGAGAAAAACGGGATTTCTCTGTTTCGTCTTACCATCTTCTTCTATTTCTTGATTAACTTTGACGCCTTAAGACCTTAGTGTTTTGCGTTAAATCTTCACTTAACTTGAGTCTATCTTTGCGGCGGCGACCTACTGACTCCACTCATATGTAGCGCGTCCACATATGACGACATAGACGCCATTGTGGTGGCCACAATCGGAGCACACCATCAATTAAACTTCAACTATATTGAATATTCATGATACGCATCATTAAAATTCTCAAAAATTGAAATCTACATCCGCTCTAGTCGTTATGTTTACGATAAGAAGGTCACTGCAAATTGGATGCATTGATGGTACCCTAGATAAACCGCATTTCCGTGCACAGAGCAGAGATTTTTCTCAATTTCGAAATGGAATCGAAAGAATTCGAGGAATCCGGCACGATGGCGCGTTCAACGCACCGCATTAAAATACCCGAGGCATTTAAAGCTATCGATGACCTGCATCCAGGTATACCATGAGATTACAAGTAAACAACAACTGCAGGTATATGACATAAACAGCCACAAATGCAAACCTGAACTATTCAAGCGTTCATTCATCGCATTGCGCAGCTGTGAACTTTAAACATTCTATTCAACAAATTAAAGGTATACCAGTTGATTGAATGCAGTGTAAAAGTAAATTTGAATTGAAATTTAGATTTTGCGAAGGAGGCGTCGAAGGTTGCAATGCGAGAGAAATACAAGCGGACGGAGTCACGCCGGAATGCGCACGCCAAAGGTGTACCACCTCTTCGTCCTCCGGGCATTAATGGGTACCTTCAAGATGTACCGTAGCACGTCGTAGAAAATCTCTCATGCATACACCGCAAACCACAATATTTACTTTATTTGATGCAATGTATAAAAAAAACCACGTAAAATTTCGATTCGTGCGGTTTTGATGGTATGCCATCAACTTTTTACGTGCACTTTCTGAATGGCATTAAAAATCTGCACGTTACGGAAACATTTCACGGCGTGCGCGCGGTATTCACCGCGCCTTGGAATACCATCGCGTCGCCTACCACGCTCACCATCTCGCTCTTTGCGCTCGCGTCTACCTGTGTCTACCTGTTCGTACTCTGCCTACTTAAAAGTTGGACTCAAGTTAAGTCACCGCGCTCGGCCCGACTCGCTGCGTCGCAAACACACACCGCAGTTATAAGACGTCGAGCGTGCGGTGCGCACGATTCGTTTCGCGTTTCTCGGCCTCACTTGGTGCGGAACCATATTCTCGCTTTTGGTATACCTGCTCTCTGCTTATTTTATATTTACGCTGTGATTGAGTGTTTACGTTCATATGGATTACGTGAAGTGAGTTTCGTTGCGCAGGCAGCCCTTGGCGCGTGAACGTCATGTCAGCGTCCGGCATGTCCGTCATGGGTGATACGACGCGGCTGGTACCCGCCAACGTGCCGGCGATCTTCGAGATCATCACCAGTGGCAATACGGCACCTGATGATTTAGTGGTGCATGTTATCGCACCAAGTAAACGCGCGGTTAATGCGAGGGTGTTACCTGGTGCGCGTGCGGGTGTACAAAGTGTTGAGTTTGTACCCTCGGAAGTGGGTACCCACATTGTGGAGGTTTTGGTGAATGGCGAAAAATTGCCAAGTGGACCTTTAGTTGCGAAAGTGTATGATGCAGGGCTTATACAAGTTGCTGATGTTAGCGGCGGCGTTGTGGGACAACCTGTTCAATTCAGAGGTAGGTACCATCAAAATATACGCATAATAAATTATTTTTCCAACAAATTTTATAAAAAAATTGTTTTATTTCAGTTGATGCAAGTCAAGCAGGTGAAGGACAACTTGAAATCTCAATCAACGAAGGAGAAGTCCCTAATCACGTCCAAGTAGTTGGAGGTGGTCGTTGTTTAGTCTCCTTTACCCCAGACCATGCAAAACCCCATTTGATTGATATAAAATTCAATGGTGAGACAGTCCGAGGTTGTCCATTTGTTTGCTCGGTGACAGATACCTCGAGGGTGATTCTAAGCCTGAGCCATCTTGAATTAATCCCTGTGAACCAACCCAGTTCATTCCACATGGGTGTGGCAGGGGGTGGAGCTGCAGAATTAGCAGTTGCAGTACGTGGACCAGTCGGGGAACTACCCGTAAAAGTCACAGGCGATATCCATAGTGGATTCACAGCTGAATTCACTCCGAATCTAGTAGGAGCTCATCAGATCAATGTAGATTACAATGGTAGACCTGTTCAAGGTACACCCTTCATTGCCAAAGCCTTTGATTCCACCAGGGTAACAGTCGGACATGTTGCAAGAGGCACTGTTGGGAGACCTGTGACATTCTCAGTTGATGCTAGTGAAGCTGGGGAAGGAAATCTGGAGATTACCATCAGTGCTAGAGGTTTAAATATTCCAACACAAGTACACCCGCAGGGAAATGCAAAGTTTGCTGTTAGTTTCGTGCCGGCTGAGGCCTGTGACCATGTGGTTAATGTAGCTTTCAATAAACGACCCGTCGTGGGATGTCCCCTGATTGTAGGGGTTGGTGGAGGTGGAGCGGGACCTAGTGTCACCCTCCGGGACCTGGACCCGTACACAGACCAAGCACGTTGTTGATTAATCATCCGGGACGTCTAGAGGATATTGAAGTGAATGTCGAGGGTGAGAAATCTTTCAAATTTTATCAAATTCCTCGAATGCTGAAGTAAGAACATTTTGATGACGTAATAAAAATAAAAATAAAAATGGAAACTTTGTATTTGTATGAAATGTAAGTTTGGTTGTTTTGTATTGTTGAGAAAGGTTTTAATTGCTAAGACGTAATCATCATCATAACGAAATTAGAGTGAAAAGAAAATGTTACAAAATGGAAGAGAATTCATAACAATTTTTTATTATTTTGTTCTGCATTTTTGCATCGACTAACAACCAAACTTATCATTTCATACGCATAATAAAATTTCCATTCTTATTTGTAAAAGTTTTCCAGTCAAAACTTAATTTTCATACTTCATTATTCAGTTATATCGTAATTATTATGTGTATTTTGTGCCATGACAAAAATTCAACCAAAGAATCAAACCAAACCATAAAATATTGAATGTAATTATCGAACGTGTAAATAAATATGTGTACAGTTTACGTGCTCGCCAGTGCATGTTGTTTTCTTTCATCATGTATCGCACGCCGCCATTTTGTATGCGCTGTTTCCTCTCGCATCTCTACCCTTGATTTACTCTTGTGCGTGTTTGTCTTGTTGCAGGACACAGACGTCTGCTCTACTAACACCCTTCCCTCAACTCTCCCACAAACTGTTTCTAAAACATAAAAACCTAAACATAACCTCAAAAATGCTTTAAATGAGGTTATGTGTCCTTTGAATGTTTTTTAATTTATCTTAATCTAAGTTATGACTAACACCTTTACGATTACAAGTATTAACAAATACATTTAAACACTTTTATAAATATTGTTTATGTAAAAATCGAACAAACGTTGCCATATTCGTTACATTTCGTCTTGAATTCTTCATGGAATCATTGGAAAATCTGTGTGTTTCTCTGTGCTTATCACGTTATTCAAGCCTTGAGCATGAATTAGTATACATTTTACTCAGCTCGTAATTCGACGATAAGTGTGCTGTGTGAATATCACAATATATGTAGATGTATCGGCAATGCATGGGAAGGCTGTCGAAGAATGCGAACGAACAAATATGGAACTTTCTCGTCTCTCGACTCTCGCGACTTGAAATTTAAACGATAAAACACACGTCGTGCATTGCAAAAACATTCAAACACATTAGGAATCATTGTTATTATATATTTCGTTTCGGTTTTGTTTCATATTGTTTCGTTCAATGTTTTTAACTTGGGGCGTTGTTGCTTTGTTCAAGTTGTGTTATTAGATTGTCATTAATTTACGAGTTTCACGCGAACACAAAGTGATTAATAATAAATTAACGTTAATTGTTTCACATGCGCATGCGCACACGTTTAATACACGCATCAATAGAAGCTGTGTGTGCAGCAACGTAATAAACAAATGAAGCTGCGCTGGAATTATTATCCGGAAATCGGAACACACGTTTTTGCTCTCTTACATCTTGCTCTCGTACTTCACGTGCCATATGTTCCTGACAAGTGTTACAACTTTCTTTTCGCGTACTTCGCGGTTTGTAAAAAGAATGAAAAACGCACGCGACTTGTAATAAACTATAAAGACGCGTGCGCATGCGTGGCGTGCTTTTCACTGCGCATGCGCAATGCACTTAAATGCAGTTAATGCACTTATAATGCGCCTGCATCGAGTGGAAACGAGTTTTATTGCAGGTGCAAATATAGCTCAATCTCTAATATACGTTTCGAAGTCTCAATATTGCATGAAAACATTCAATTTCTTTTTTTTTATCGCTGCCGTCGATTGGAATTTAATTTTTATTATTCATTGCTGTGTTGTCGGTGATTATCTATTTATCACTCTATTCTCTGCTGTATGAGGCATAACAGGTTGTTAAGCGGCTTTCATTTGTCGTCTGCAATTTGTTAAATGTTGCCTTCCGCATTTTTACCTGATTTCTATCGGGACATTCGTGTTAAACTTGCACCTGTCAATAGAACATTAGATAACGTATTCATTTCCGGTTGTCACATTCATGCGATCATTGGCCTGACGTTACTTAAGTCACTTTACAATTTGCATATTGATGGAGAAAGTTGATTAACGCATTCCAAGCGAATTTCATTCAGAAGAATCGAAATGACCATATTATAAAAAATGAATAGAAACGCCGACATTCCTCGATTGCTTTCTTTCTGTAATTTATTGTACCAATACGAATTAAATTAATTACACGAACAAAGAACTGCGAACAAATGATAATTACAAGTTAATATCACTTGCGAAACAATTGATTAATTTATTATTTTATGGTTTGATGGTTTTATTTGAATTTTTGGTTGATTTTTTGATTTCCATGAAGAATTTACGATTGATAAATGATAACAATAGTAAATTAATTAAATTTACAAAATACACAGAATAATCTAAATATTATCCCTGCTAACCTATAACAATAACAATAAACCGAATAACATGAAGGACCCGGTGGACAATCCGTGCCCACACAAGTGCAACCCTTGGGTAATGCCCAATTCCGTGCGGAGTTCGTACCTCGAGTTGTTGGGGAACACAGAATCAACGTCACCGTCGGCGGCGTCGCCACCGCCGGCAGCCCGTATTCTGCTAAGGTCTACGATGTGTCCGCCATTAAAGTGAAAGAGGCCGCCACGGGCGTGGTCGGCAAACCGGTCACATTCTTAGGTATGCGACAATCAAGACATTCTCCTTGATAATAATTATTATGATTTACAATGTGAATATATACTTACTTCATTATTGTTTGTTTGTTGTATGGTATGTAACATTAGTGGAGACAAGTCAGGCGGGTCCAGGAAACTTAGAAGTAACGGTGAATGGCGGCCGGGTGCCCACTTCTGCTCAGGCTCAAGGTCCTCACACCTACGCCATCTCGTTCACCCCACGTGAGGCAACTGCTCATTCGGTTGATCTTCGGTTCAACGGGCAGGACGTACCTGGAAGTCCTTTCAAATGTGTGGTTAGTCCTGCTGCGAGGATAGTGGCACCTGAAGCAATGGATAAGGTATCTGTGGGAAGACCATGTGTTTTTGTTGTGGAGAGTCCCAATCCTCCTGTTGTGGAAGTGTTGGGACCAGCAAGAAGATCATTACCAACTCAGGTAAAAGTTGGTTTAGTAAAAATTGTAAACATGGTTTGATTTTGTGTTTATTGTGATTTAGATCACTCCCCAAGCAGGATCCCCTGGTAAATTTGACATTTCCTTCACCCCTATGGATGTGGGAGATCACAGTGTAGAGGTACGTCTCCCCCGGGGCCATATAGAAGGTTCTCCATTTTTGGTCAAAGCATACGATGCGAATAGAGTCAGTGTTACGGATATAAACGATGGGATTGTTGGTAAACCAGTCTCCTTCAGTATAAACGCATCACAAGCAGGTGCGGGTAACCTAGAAATCATCGTGGCTGTTGGTGGACGTAACGTACCCAACTTTGTACAATCCGAGGGCAATGCCAGGTTCAAAGTTAATTTTAAACCTACTGAAGCTGCTGTGCATACTTTAAGTGTCCGATTCAATGGTCAAGCTGTCCCTGGTTCTCCATTTAGTTGCAAAGTCAGTCCTGGTAATACCCAACCAAGGGTACCTGTTTCCGGTAATGGGATTGAACTCGCCGCGGTTGGGCACTCTGCAGAGGTTAAAATAGAAGGAACACATTCATCGGAACCTCAAGTTATCATCACAGCCCCAACTGGGAAGATTCTCTTATCCAAGATTACAGTTAATGGTGACACAAACATTGCAAGATTCACACCGGAAATGGTTGGTAGACACTCGGTAGCCATTTTGATTAATGACCAACATGTGATTGGTTCTCCTTTCAATTGCAATGTTTATGATGTGAACAAAGTAATCGTTTCCGGTTTACCTGGTAAAAAGAGTGACATCACAAGGACATTATCTGAATTGTCCTTAAACCACATTGGACCTGCTGAAGTGGGTAAACCAGTTACTTTCAGTGTGGATGCAGCGCAGGCTGGTGAAGGTACTCTGGAACTTGTAGTATCCACACAACATACCACCATCAAAGCGGAAGTAGTCGCTTGTGCTAGAGGATTGTATGATGTGACTTTTGTCCCGCAAACAAGCGATGACCATTTTGTAAACATCACATTTAACGATATGAACGTCATTGGAAGTCCCTTCCATTGCACTGTCATTGAATCCACTCAATATTTACAAGTTGGATCAACGAATTATTTCGACATACCACCAGAACATCGTCTGGAGATCACTGATGGGAATAATCACGCTGTTAAATATACTACAAACAACGGCAAAGCAGAGTTTCTTGTCAATCAAACCGGAACATATCAATTGCATCTGCTGAAGAATAACAACATTGTAAGTTCAAGGACTTTGCACATCTTTGATATGAACAAAGTGGATATTATCAACGCCCCGGAAGCAGTCTGTCATCGTCCCGCTGTTGTGGGTATCAGTGTAAACAAAGTAGGACCTGGTAAACTTTCAGCAGCGGTTAAAGTGGGTTCCAAGGAGATTCCACACAGCGTGAGGCAAAGTGCTAACAATCCTAACCTCTGGGAGGTTGTTTTCCATCCGGTTCATGCTGCCCCACACAAAGTTCAGTTGTTTTATAATGGCGTACCGAAAAATCCACCTATTGATGTAAGTCTTATTAAAAATCAACAAAATTTTCCATGTTTTACATTTATTTTGTGTTTTGAATACTAGATTCCTGTAAAATCACCGGGAATGGAACCCTGGGCAGGTGGTATTGGTCTCTATCAAGCCCGAGTTGGAAAAGTAACTTCCTTCCATATAGACACCCTTGGACGATCAGCACGTGAATTCGACGTTGTTGTAAGTGGTCCCACAGGTTCCGCAGTTCCCGTGAGATGTTATCAAACAAAAACCGGTAAACTACAAGCTGAATTCACCGCAAGAGATGTGGGCCCTCATACTGTAGAAGTCCTACATCAAGCTAAAGCCGTCCAAGGCAGTCCCTTCACTTGTGAAGCCCACGATGCAGATTGTGTACGTATTATGGATATTCCAAGCACCCAAGGAAATGTCGGTGAAAGAATAGCATTCAGTGTTAATACGAAGAATGCGGGTTCTGCTGATTTGGAAGTAATAGCCACGAATCCCATCCAACAACAGGTGCAAGTACAACACACGATTGTATCCGATGATTTGGTCCAAGTGTCATTTTTACCGAGTATGGCTGGGTTGTATCAGGTTACTGTAACCTACGGAGGTGTTCCGGTGAAGAACTCTCCGTTGGCGTTGGGTGTTGGTGCCATTGGGCCTACGCCTCCTCCGAGGGCTGTAGGAAAAGGTTTGGAGAGTGCGGTGGTTGGTGAGAGGACTAGTTTTACTGTCAGCAGTGCAGTCCAACCTAGAGTTCAAGTGGAGTCTATTGACGGGATTATTGATGCACATATACAATGCCCCAAAGCGGGAGAGTTTATTGTTTCGTATACCCCGAAATGGGTTGGTGTGTATGATATAATCATCTCTATAGGACCTAATGATGTAAGTGTATTAGTAAATTTAGGTTATTTTGGAAGTTAATGGTTTGTTTTGTGTTTCAGTTGCCTGGATCTCCATTTAGACCAGTGGTTGTAGATCCCAGCGCAGTTCGTCTCATCGGGGTTGGACCCAGTATTTGGATGATATTGGAAGAATTAAACTACCAGCAAAATTAGTCTTCGACACGTCTAACGCAGGTCCTGGTAATTTAGAGTGTAAAATCTCAGGAAGAAAGATCAGCCCGGATAAAAACGGCAACAGATTTAAATTTGAACTTTCCACTGAGGGTCTCACCGCTGGCGAATCTGATTTTGAGATGAGATTTGCTAATCTTAGACTTCCGGAAACCCCAAATACAGCCATCGCTTTAGGGGCTCAAGTTGTCCTCAACGGAAAAGGTCTAAGTCAAGCACAATGTGGAGAACCTTCAGTTTTCACCATTGATGGTAGCAAAGCAACATCCGGTAACCCCGAGGTTACACTCCACGCTGTAGATACAAATGTGCCTATTCCCGTAATGCTCTCCCTAACAGGAGACAAAATCTGGCGCGCTACGTATACAATCAACACTCCTGGCAACTATCTGCTAAGTGTACTATGGGCAGGTCGTCCTGTAAAAGGTTGCCCACTCATGGTGGAAGCCAAAGGAGGTGCAGATGCCTCCAAAGTACTTTGTTCAGGTGAAGGGCTACGACAAGGAGTTGTGGGACGTGAAATACGTTCCTGGATTGATACAAGACGTGCAGGACCCGGGGAATTGACTGCACATTGCACAGGACCTCATAAAGTCGCATACTGCGAATTGTACGATCACGGAGATGCTACATTCACCTTAAACGTCAAACCACAAGAATCTGGTCGTCATGCATTAACAATTAAATACGCAGGTCAACATGTGTCTGGTTCTCCATTCACCCTAAAGGTAGCAGGTGCTCCAGATGCAAGTAAAGTACGAGTTTACGGTCCAGGTGTAGAACATGGCGTCCTCGCAACGTTCCAATCGCGATTTATCTGCGATACTCGCGGGGCAGGGGCAGGTCAACTTACAGTTAGAGTACGTGGTCCAAAGGGGGCGTTTAGAGTCGAAATGCAACGTGAGAGTCAAAAAGATAGAACTATTCTATGCAAGGTAACCTTGTAATGATAATACCATGCGGTGTAATAAAACTAACCTTATAATTTCAGTACGATCCAACGGAGCCTGGTGATTATCGTGTTGAAGTGAAGTGGGCTAATGAATTAGTGCCAGGATCGCCCTTCCACGTGATGATCTTCGATACACAGGAAGAACTGCGCAGGTATATCAACACTATGTAGTTGAAAATCGAGAAAACTGTAAAAATGAACAAATCTCTCAATATGAATATAAGAAAACAAAAATGCATCCAAGGGTGGCAGGGTTCAATCATAAAACATTACAAATAAAACAAAAAATGAATGAGAAACAGGCTTGTTGAGACAAAGGTTGAAATTTTTATACAAAGAGCTATTTATTGTTTTATTTACTTGTTGCATATATAAACATTATATATTTTTAACATTTAACACCTGTTTTTAACGAATAAACATTTTTAAAATATTTATGAATGTCTGTGATATAAAAATATCTAAAATGGAATATAATTGCGATTTGGTACCCAAAGGCACTCATCAAATAGGGCAAATTGAGAGACTGGAAGTCTCCTGTGTGCAACCCAAACCAAAGACCTAAAGAGCTGCGACTAGACTGCTGGAAGACTTAGGCACACTGAGCCCGCGGGATACCCTTTTATACCTGCGCTTGACCCGAGAAAAGGAGTGGGGGTAGGTGCCCCCACTCGAGTTGCGAGGTGCGCTCAGCCACGTCACACTGGCCTTCCCCCACCACTTTTTGCGGATCAGCGCAGGTATTAAAGAGCAGCCTGCACGGAGCTAAGTGCTCAGTCGTACCTAAATCCTCCAGCAGTCCAGTCACAGTTGTCTAGGGTCTTCTCTCCCCCTCTTTTTGTCTCCGATTGGGTTGTCCCTCCACTTGTACCTTCTATAATGCCTTCTGTAATAATTAATCCATTCTTGTATTGCAATTGCCATGTAAAACAACGATATCATCGTCGCATTGAAAATACTTATCAAATACACCTTTCTCGCCCTTGTCGCGCCACCATGTGCATAATTGACGATTGAAAGCACAACTCAACATTCTGATCATTTCAGGATGTTCATAACCTAACAAAGTGTAAAAATCTTGGTCACCAAGATGGCCGCGGAAGCGATACTTGCCCACCATCGCATCTACAGATTCCTTCTTTATCACCTGTCGATATGTGGAGGAATTTCGTATGGCGGTTAAATTGAAGAGGACGACACCAGAATTATATCCGGGGAAACCTTTTGGATGCTGGGGCGCTTCAAACGTTTGGTTGATTGGCTTGGCATGTAAGTACTCTCCGAATGTTGTATTGTGTTTTTGTTTATAAGAGTAGAGAATGTGTCGGTATACTATAGATAATTCGGGCGCTAGTGCAAATAATTCACCTTCTCTAAAACTTTTTATTTAAATTATTATGAGAAATTTGAGTCATAAAGTTTCTAAATACTTACTACTTGAATTGGTCAAAAAGTAAGGCCACATCTTGCTTAAAATGTACATCACAATCAATCATCACAGCTAATTTTTGATTCATTGGAGCAAGTCGATAAATGCCCAATGAAATGTAAAACAAGGCATCACTGTAGTATGTTCCTAATAACAAATTTAGTTTAATTCTTTATCCTTCATTACTTATAACATATTACAATACTTACCAGGCCTAGAACTAAAGTGTGGAGTCATTGCCTCCACAATATCCTTGATACTGCTAGCAAAGTCACTAACATTATAAAACTGATAAGTTATCTTGGAAGCATTCACATTGCTCTTCATCTGCTGGAATATCTCAATGGCAATCTGTTTGGAGGCATCATCAGTGATAACGTGAAGATCAATTGGCACAGAGGTCACAGCCAGCAAGTTCTCGATTAACCTCTGAAAATTGTGATAGAGTGGAGTTTGCTCCACCACTTTGGTGAAGATAAGCCATAGATTATAATCACTGCCTTTCTGATCATTTGAACTGATGAAGTATTTGAACTCTGGTCTGGCAATCTGTGATCTTGATATGCTTGTGTTATCAATGAAGGTGAACAGGTAGATGAAAAACGCGATCGTCGTCAGGAATATGAACAAATTGAGCATGGAATGCACTTTTTGCATGTTGATGCATTTTTGTATTGCACTTATTTTAGTTTCATGACTTGATATGTTTGGTCAACTTGGACTTGAGAGGAGTTTTTCTTTTTGTAACTGGTGTAACAAGTTGTTTGACGCTTCTTCTTTTACTCCCACTACAAACAAAAACAAGATGGTGGAATAAAAGTTAAATTTTGAAAATTACGCTCTAAATTGATTTAAATTTAAGTAAAACTTTATTAAAATATAAATATTATTACCGGAAAAAGATTTTGCAGTTGAAACATATTCAAAAGTTAATCTTTTTAACGAAATGTGTGAATTGGGTTGCATATATTCAAATATCAAGTCAATATTCCCAAACTTATATATTTCATTCAGCCAACGTGCACGAAAAATAGAACGATAACATTATTAAATAGGAATTACTCTAAATACAATTAGAAGCTCAAACTAAACGCTAATCAAAAATGTACTTTGGTGTGCCGTCATCGTTCCAGTCATTCTTCACCTTTTCAAATGTAAAAGTCATGTACAAAGATGAAGCTTCCCATTCGGATTTACTCAGTGTTCCAACCGGTGCATCCGTGTCTTTCTCTTTGCAATACTCTTCCGCATGCTTATAATCTTCGGGATTCGTCCCAACCAGACATTCTCTACCCTGCGATGAATAAGTCTCAAGACTATTCATAGCACTCAGTAAATTACGTCCTTCATTTTTTAGTCGTTGATAAAACTCGTGAAACTTCTCTTTTCGCACCAATTTCAATCCGTATTTCTTCGCCAATTTGACAAAAGAACCAAAATGCACCAGGAACTCAGGACAATCAACCACTCCATCCAAATGGAAATTGTATTTCGCTCCAAAGATCGGCGGGTTGTCTAGATCGCTATCGTATACTACACTGAAAACATCATTTCCGAACGTTTTTCGCCCGGCTTTCTTCAAACGCGCCACGATTTCGTTCGCATCCGGGATGGTTCCAAAGAAAAACCCTCCGGGTTGCAAACATTCGGCTCCATTACGAATCATACACTCAGCCTGTGGCAAACTCTCAAAACTATAGTGAAATGCAAACTGACAACTTACGAGATCCAGTTTTATTGAAGGATCTTTGTACTTTTCTCGAAGTCTGACTTTTGTGGCATCTGCAGCAATATACTCGGCTGAATATATCTGACCTGGAGTTCTATCTCTTCTGTCTTTCATCTCCTGATATCTTGTTTTGCATTGATCAAGAGATACTTCAGCAATGTCAGTGCAGATTAAATGATTGATGCATCCTTTTCTCCATTTGAGCAAATCACCTCCCTTACCACAACACATGTCCATCACCCTGATGGGCACGTTGTGCTTCTTCTTCTCTTTGCAAGCTTCAAGATTTTCATTGATCTGCATACTCTTGATCCAGTTGTGAAAATTACGCATGTAGAATATTCTCGAGCGCGAACGTTCATCGAGTCCTTTCTCTTCTAGTTGATTGTAATGCGTTGCGACTACTTTGGCATACCCGCCGCTATGTGCCGGCGCTGGTTCCGGAGGCGGCGGTTGCGGTTGTGGAGATTCCCCGCGTTTTTTCGCGCGTTCATTCCGCACACGCTCATCGTCGTAACTTCTTTTCTCCTCTCTTTCCGCTTGTAATTTACGCTTGAGGCCTTTTGATTCCTGTGGAATGAGCAGTGGCGGCTCCATTTGAAGGCTGGCGGTTTCGTTGACGACGGTTTCCAGGGATTTGATAACGCTCACTCTGTTTTCGTTGTTTCGTGCATCCGCGTCGGCGGCGGCCATCATCAGCGTCTTCTCCAAATCGTCGCCATCGGTCGACATTGCTCTTTTTTTATTTATTACTTTAATTAAAACTTAACTAGCGAATGTAAACAACTTCATCGAGGTTAAAAACATTCAAGTCACGTAAGTGAAGCGACTTCGGTTGCCCCCAAATGTCGCCGGAACGCTATAAAAACCTTGAAAAACTTTTGTTGTTCGTTGAAAGTCCGACAACGTTGCATTTGGGGAAGCTTTAAAAAAAGAATCAGAGACGAATTTTAGGTTAGAATAAAACAGTTACAGTGCGCAACATGTTCTTCACATTCATTTCTCATTAAATCTTATTTTAAACTATTTATTGTAATAAAACGAACAAAATGTCTACGATTATTCGCGTAAAACGTCGTTGTGACGAAGAACCGCAAGATATCATTATCGTCAATTGTAAAAAACGAAAAACCTCAGAAGAAACCTTAGATTCATCAGATAAAACACCAACGGTTCTTCAACTTGCTGGAACAGTCAAAAACCAAGTGAGTTTTTACTAATCACAATCAATTTTAATCAACCAAATTAAACAAATTATACTTCAACCAGGAAGACGATGTTCTTAAACATTGCAAAACATCACTCAAAGAGAACATTGAGACTGACATAAAGAAAAAAACCCATCAGAATGTGTTTCAATCAATTCGCGACCGCGTCCGCGAAGAATGCATCCAAAACAGTAAAGAAAACCGCTACAAAGTCGTCAATCTCTGTAGATCCAACTCACACAATGATGATGGTGTTACCATTGTTGATGTGGAAGCAGATAAAATGGTTGAAGATGTCGAATCCAAACCTCAATATGTCTATGATTTATATTACACAATTTCTGATGATTTGGGAGAAATTTATGATCATGACTTAGTTGGGTATGTTATATACCTCATAATAATCAAATAATTTAAAATAAAAATAAATATTTTTAGTGTTTATCCACTAAGTAACGAATTAGTTTACGGATCTCATCGTGATAACGGCGCTGCTGATTCAGATGATGATGAAAGTGAAGATTCAAACGCTGAAAATAACTGGCGCAATGAATATCCCGATGAAGACGAGTATCGGGACGATAATAGCATAACCGAAGATGATATGATCTCGGCAATGCAACACGTTCATTTGGATAAAGATGATTTATCATCAGATGATGAAAATGCGGGTTTTATTTATAGTATTGATAGTGAAGCGGCTGGATTCGAGGAAGACATCGATGAATCTGATGTTAATCGTTACGGTGAGCGATACGCACTTTTCAAAGCACGTTATAAGAAAAGTGAAAGAGATAGCAGTGTGGATGATGAAGATTTCTACTATGAGTATGATGATGATGCTAATGGTCATGAAGAAGAAGCTCATTCTTCATATTATTGATGTTTTTTTACGTTGTTTAAGTATGGTAAGTGTAAAAACGTTTAAAATTGTGATTTGCTTTCAATATTTATCAAATGTTCCTTCAAAAATGCAAATATTATTCATTTTAAAATAAATATTTAGATTTCAATTGTTAAACAAGTGGAACAGTTGAAAGTCGTGATTATTTTCAAGAAAAAGTGTTTACAATGTTTTCTTTATTATTAAACAACAAACTTTCATATATTTTCAAACAAGACAGTATTATAATATAATAGTGTTATAATAGTGTTAAAATGCAAAGTGCTACTTTAATTGTTTAAATTTCACAGTAATTCTGGTTACGAATATTTCTCTTCTTTTTTTTTAACAACTTTGTTCAACAACTCGGGATATATGCGTATTAAAAATCGAAAACAAGCAACGCGTTTCATAATATTTAACAAATTCGAAACAAATTAAAGTTGCTTTGCCATATTTATATTTATAGAATGGGTTAGTTTGAATGTTAGGTTATGTTGTTTGCTTTGGTTCGTTTGTTTGGCCCGTTGTTCGACTGGTTGCGCATGGCTGACACAGTTACATTTTAAACATTTGTTGTGAATGCGGTGCTCGACGTTTAAAGTTTATAGGATTGGCGCATCATCAGATCGAAGTAGCCGTCGTTATCGATTGACGCGCTGATGACACTGTAGTAGTTGTAGAACTCTTCCTTGGTCACCTGTAATTATTAGAATAAATAATTCATACGCGCATGCGCAAAACGGACAAGTTGCGTAATCAATCAATATTTGGTGACGAATTGCTTGAATTTTAACTTTAAAATTGTGTTTTTTTGTAGACTTACAGTGCCATCCTGGGTAGCGTCTTGTTCAAAATTGTTCAAAAGCGCTTCATAATTGTTTCCTCAGTTTCTTCTCCACTGATGTACTTCGGATGATTTTTTACGTTGTAGACGTTCTTTAAATCGTCTATTGTGATCAAACCATCACCAGTTTTGTCTAGCTTGATGAAAGCTTCCTCAATTACACGTTTTCTGCAGTCTGCCAATGGCGGCTAAAGAATAAAACAAAAATTTTAAAATAAAATTCAAAATGGCTGACGTTAAGTCGAACTTACACGAATATTAACTAGAAATTCTTCCATGTTGATGCCGCCGCTACCGTCCATATCAAACTGAACGAACATATTCTCCGCTTCCTCGTCGGTGATCTCGAGGCCAGCTTCGCGCAGGCCAGTTATGAATTCTTCACGATTCAATTGTTTGTTGCCGTCGTCGTCAAGCCGACGAAACATGCGGCCCAAACCGAGAATTCCAGTCGCTCCGCGTGTCATGCAAACCAATCGCAGCCGTGTCACCGGATCCGCGCTTGCACCTTTCATAATCAACCATAAACAATCAAAATTATTAATTGCTGCACGCATAGCGTTTAATTGTTACCTTTCGCCTGCAGCTCGCGTTGACTCTTGTTAATCAATTCGTTTTCTTGACGAGTCATGGCACTTTGTGGTCGAAACATTTTGATTCTACAAGAAACATTCATTTTTAAGCACACAATTTTCCAAATTATGGTATTTTATGATGTATGTTCTATTTTAAAATTAAATTGGGTGCAATTCAAATTTCCTTTGTAGTTTTCACGCCAATTGCATGTCAAACACGTATAAAGGTGATTTAATTTTAGAAAAACGGCGCTATTAAACTACTTCTTATAATTAACTAATTAACTAACATTCATAAATAGGTATTACACGTTGGTTCTTTGAAGTTTATTTCCTTTTTCTTTCGCGAAGTTGTAACATAGTTCATAAAACGTGTATGTTGGGTTGCCTATCGGAAACATACGTTAGCATAAAAACAAAAGTTGTTTACTTTGTGTTTTGTGCTTGGTTGATTCGGTCTAAGGTGATTCTGTGGTTAATTAATTTGAAGAATACGATTTAACCGGACGTGTCGACATATCAATTAACTCTGTGAGTATTAATTAGTTATCCTTTACATTGTTATCATTATAACTAGCTTTTAAATTAGTTTTTTCGGAGGCATGACGACAAAGGAAGTTGCTTGCCTAATAATCCACGTTTTTAACCAAAGTTTCGTTAGTGTCGTAAAGTAGAACAAACGGGAAGTTTCCCCATTACGCTTGTATGAGAACTATGCGGAATTGAAAGTTGAAAACGCGTCGAAAGAGGTTCGGATCGATACATCGTGAATCATATCGAATTTATCGAACACACACGTTGCTTTCGCGTTACTTATTTCCTATTTTGAATGGATCATTAATTATTTAGTGGGTTCAAGAGGGTTCTTTCCACTCACTCCCGTATTTCAAGAGGGGTTGAAAGCCGAAAACACTTTCATTGACTTTTAATAACTACCTGGCAAACACAATGCGTATTTTCATATGGAAAATGAATAATTTTATCAAAGTCAGACAATGTGAAGCGTCATGGCGTCATCCACACGTCGTAAACATGATGGCGGCGGGCGGCCATGTTATCTTCATTGTGTTTTTCGCCATATTTTGATAAAAGTAAGAGAAATAACAGCAATTAGTACTTAACAACTTTGATAAAATTCCGAAATTGTGACGGTAGGTGGAAATATGTGGTGGAGTTTCGTTCGGAGTGCGTTCAACTCGAATGTACCGTGTTCGAACGCGAAAACTTCGACCATCATTACACATATTGTTAAGTGTAACGACTTATCAATAAATAATTGGGGTAAATTTAGTTGTTAGTTTATTATATGTGGGTTATAATAAGTATATTATTAATAATTTCTACTTTTTATTGGTAAATTTATTTATTTTCATTTTTAAATATCAAGATTTTATATTAATTTTAACATGTTTGGCTTAATTGGCATTTTTAAACTCAAAATTAATATTAAATCTGTAACACAACAAGATATTTAAATATGGAAATAAATATTTGATTTGTGATTGCCATCATAAAAATCAAATATTATTTGTTTTACCTTAAAAAATAGATTTTTATTTGTAGACAACTTTTATGATTGCATGAGTATTAAAACAATTAATAACCCGTGAAATAGTTTGAATGGAGTCATGCACGATTGTCTTTTTGAAGGTAAGCCCATGATTTTCTTTGTATAAGTTTTGTTCTTGTGTGTGTTTCGTGTTGAATCATGTGGGTAATAGCATAGTTTCATACTCATACGGGGAAGGCGTGCGTGACGCAATTATTAGTTGAATTTTAATGCATGTGTCGCCGATGAACTAAAACTTTTACGGTGCCATCCTAGCAAACACCGCGAAAATGAGTCCTACCCACCCATCCAAACCTTAAAATATTTAACTTGATTAAATCCTCAAGGTTGTAAATCAAACAAATTATTTTTAATAAAATAATTCGAAAGCATCGATTTTCTTTGTCCGCATGGTGAAAATATAATAATTTATTAATACAGCTCGTTACATTTTATGAATGTGCTTCCGAAGTAATGTTTTATTTTTGTGTGTTCACGGACAGGGGAATAATATTATTGATAGTCTAGGGTAGATAAAATGGTGGCATGGTCACACCTAGCGCGCATTAATAGTCGATTGTACCATTTAAGGGTTGTTTATGTCTATCGAACGTGTTGCTAACGGCAACAAATTGTTCGAAAGGTACGAAAACATAGGTTTTAACAAAAACCATCAATGATATAAGTGTAATTAGAGAAATTAATTAGTTTCCTTGTATTTCCAATCAATAAAATTTTCAATTTTTGAAAATCTACACTTTAATCAACTTTCAAATCTCAAATATTTAATGTTTTGATCAAATAATACTTGTTTGATTTGATTTATCAGATATTTTATCAATAGAGATAAATTTCGGACTTGTATAACAAATTAATTACTTCCCAGTACATTTATGTGCTAAAAAAATATGCAGAGTAATAAATTACTTCTTTTGTCGTGTTTTTTCTGCTTGGTTTTTGTTGCGGGTGAAAAAACAAAATATGCAAACGATGTAAAATTTGAATTAATTTATTTGTATATACGCTGCGTGTACTTACGTTAATGAAGCGGGACGTTTGTGGTTTAATTAATTCTGCACTTGCACAGTTACACTACGAATGTGATGATGGGGATGAAGATAGAATTTGTTTTTGCGCCCCCGCGACTAATGTCTAACGACTAGCTTCAAACCGCAAACGCGACCGACCGACGACTGAAAGTTGCGCCATGCGAACGGTGTACTTTATAAACGTAGTAAATGAGCATCAGGCACACACAGGTATTAAGTATTATCCACAAGCATAAAAATTACAAAAATTACAGTGGATTTTAATGCCTAAAGTAGAAATTCAAATGTTTTATTTGAATATGATCTATAATTATTGAAAAAATTAATATTTAGGCTTCAGTTTAATAGTTAATGTGATTTTTTGTTGTGGGAACACTCTGTGTTGAGTTAGTGAGGCGGAAAACGACTTTCCGACTGTTGCGAGTGGTCTAGAAAAACGGGAAGGATGGCACGTTGACGACGTTGACCATTTAGCCGGCTTTCCGGCGTGTGTTGTTGCCAGGAGACAACAAATACAAATATTCGACCCAAACGCAAATTATGTTTTTTAGTCATGCAAACAATTATGCTTTGCAGTTTACACGAAAACAGCAACCACACAAATAGATGCTTGATGATAACTTATTTTATAACAAAAATAAAATTAAAAAATATCGATCTCTTTCAGTTTTCATAAAAAAAAGAAACAGAATTTATATAATTACGAACTACATCCAATCCAATACATACATATCTATAGATAATAATATTAATTAATTAATTTATTACTTAAATCTAATGTATTTATATTTAAATCCCCATTAAAACAGTTGTACTGTTTACAGGCATAATTGTCGGCGCAGAAGCTTGCCGAACACTCATCTCCCAAGTATCCAACAATTGCGACAGCGAAAAATGTTTCGGCAGTTTCTTCACTCTAGCCAGCAATGCGGTTTGTACTCTGGTTAAAAACTGTGTGGTTTCATACTCGTGTGGAGCCATGTAAACCTTGGGCGATGTCATCGGATAATCCTCTGGTACAGTGAGCGAAACTGGAGGGACGCATGGTAAGTTTTTATCATCCAACCAACAAATAAGTTGTATTGTTTTTGATCCTGGTTGTTGATTCGGGTCGATGGATACTTTAAAGCGTTGATCCAACCGTGCAATTTCTCCTTGTAACACTTCGGGGATTTCACTGGCTGGTTCTTCGATTCTTTTGCGTTTTAATGGTGGAACTAACCTGGAAATTATAATGTTAATTTTAGTTTTGTCATTTTTTTGGTTTTATTTAAGTTTTACTTTAATTCTGGACTGAAAAGCGCATCCAGAGTTGGTCCAAAAGTACGATGCAAGGTGTGATTAATCGAAGGTGCCTGTAGATTGTTATTAACTGCTTCAATTAGAGGTTTAAATGCATGATGTTCTTTAAGAGTTGTTGTGGTTGTTGGTGCAGAGACACTTCCGTCTCCACGCTTGAAGTCTAACTTTTCTAGTACAACTTCACACTTGAGAAGTGTTTCCAAGGGCATTCTCTGTTGTGGGTTTGATAGGATTTCTAACAATTTCTTCATCTTACTAGTTTTTTCCACATCTAAAAGACAAAAAAAAAACGTTTAAATTCCATTTAGTTTTTTTAAATTTCTCTTTTCTTACGTTCTCCATCATTTCCCATCCTAGCAATCATTTTCCTCAACGGCTCGATATATTTGCTCAACTGTCGCACTTTCTGCATATAAGCCCCTTCATCCTGCAACCCCATGGGGCTCTGATTTGGTTGTCCTGGAGTATTCAAAGAGCTTGAAGGACTCGGCGCCATTCCCACCGATCTCTGTTGGTTTGGTGTATTCATCTGCATATTCATTTGAGAACTGGGACTTGGTGCCATTGCAGGTGATGGCACCATCTGGTTCGGAGTAGGTACACTCATACCAGCTGGTGATTGTACAGACTGTGCGCCGGGGCTCTGCGTCATCATTTGTGGTGGCATCTGAAGGGGTTTACGCTGCAGGCCTGCATGCGGAGGTGCATTCATCATCATCTCCGGCTTGTGCTGGATCATCTGCACGTGGCCCATAATCGGCGGGCCTTGGATCTGATTCGGCATGCCCATAGGATTACCCATTTGATTCGGCATCTGATTTGGCATTTGGTTCGGCATGTTTTGCATCTGTTGCGGCATTTGATTCATGCCGCCATTCTGCATCTGTGGGGGCATTTGATTGGGGATATTGCCATTGGGTACCATGCCAGGCATGCTTGGTCTTGCACACATTGGGCTGGGTACGGCGTTCATTTGATTTGGGCCGCGATTGAGGGTTTGTAATAGGTTGGTGGCGTTGGGACCAACTTGCTGGGGCATATTACCAGCTTGTGGACCCATGTTCATCATCTGGTTGTTTCTGGTGTTACCCTGGCTGGCTAAATTTTGTAGGGCATTGATGGGATCCTGCATTCCAGGGCCAGCTTGACCTCCAGTGCCATTCATTACTCCACCAGCGCCCTTTTTGGCATCTGGAGATAAAAGTAAGTAAATAATTTCTATTGTTAATAGAAATTTAAATACTTACTCATTTCCCTGACATGTAGGATTAACCTTGCCACAAAGCCAAGGTATTCCTCTTTTGTTTTTGCTTTCTGGAAGACATGATTTTCCATTTCCAGACTATTTCTAGACATGGACATTCCTGATGCTCGTATCGCCTCATCACTATTTACAAAAACGAAAGAATGTTGATTTAAAAGAATTTTAAGTGGTTATTTATTGTGAACTTACATTTTTTGGACAATATTTTGTCTAAAATTGGTCTGCCTCCAAGATCCATCATCAGCCATTGTTGCAAACTTAGTATTTCAACACTTTTATGGTAAAGTTGTAATATTTTGTAAGATTATGTTATAAACATTCAACTCTCTTCGCTCTCGTGAAATGTTGTGGAATATTCCAAAACAATCACTGCGACGTTGTCAACTCCCTCACGGCAAGTGGTCTTCAAAATGTGGGACTTTCCAACAAACCAACCTAACCTAAATATAATTATTGAAGACTCGTCAGAAATCTGATGAAATAAACGGAATAAAATGTATTTATTCCTTGTAACTACATTAATTGGCTTTCTAAGCGTTCATGTATCTGTTTTAACAAAATATGTAAGCATTGCATGCCGTAGCTAACCAAGAAAATCATAAGTTTCTGTTCTGTTATACTTTTTAGATCAGTAAAATCTTTAATCGAATACCACAGGCAGAAAGAACTCTCTTGGAAGAACGTCGTGAGTTACTAAAGCAGCAAGCCGCTCTTAGCGTTAGCCGCGATTTTGTAAAACACTCAAAACTGCAGAGAAAAATCAATGCTATAGATGAACAATTGAAAGAAAGTGGCTCAAAAAGAAATGGTAACAATTTTATATACAATATAGGCATAAATTATGGCTGCAACATATTGCTCTCTGTGGTGATGATATTTTTATCGGTATATTATAGAAAAGTGCCGGTTTTTATTGTTGAAACCAAGTATAACCTGTGGCCATTTGGTGGGCTCATTTCCTTTCCAAATGACGTAGAAAATTCAGTGTCAGTTCATTTTTGGATGGTGTCTTGTTCGAGCGTTGCTCGGTTATTAAAAAATTAGAATTAAGATTACATCGAATAAATTTTCTTATTCAATGTTATATGCCAATGTGACATTTATTTGTGTTTTAAAATTCCCGCCACTTGTTCTGTTTTAATGTGTGTGAAAGCAGCGTTACATCTCGGACATAATTGAACAGTTCTATTAAATTTCCCGTTACATGTTGTTTTCTTGAGTGTAAAGGCAGCTTTACATCTGCCGGAAATAGTTTTGACAGGCACGGAACTGTCACACGTATGGACTCGCGAGGATTTTCACCCAGCGGTGCGCCGCCGTCTCAATCCCCGGCTGCTCAATGTAGATTAGCTGGCGGCGCGAGGCGCGCACGTAACAAAATGTAAATGCGATTAGCGCCCAACACGCAGTAGCGAGCCAAATTCTCAGTGCAACGGACATGTGCGCCTAGCGGTACACGCCGTACACGCAACTCGCGCGCACATCGAACGGTAACACAACAAGACAAAAAGAAGTGATTAAAAAGTGTACATCGCCATCATGTGCTGGGAAACGACGGCGGTGATCGAATGGACCCACGAAGACGTCTTCCAATGGCTGGAGCAGTTGGAGTTGAGCGAGTGCTCTCGGAAGGACCTGCAAAGCCAACGACTCGACGGTCGGTGTCTGCTCGCAATCAACGACGCAGACTTCCGGCTTAGTCCAGTCGACCAACTAGGACTTGCAGATCGAAAACGACTATATCTAGCGGTGAAATCTCTCCAAAGAGATAATCTATCAGCAATGGTGCAGCTAGGGCTAGCACCTTGCGAGAACAAATTCCATCCGGTGGCTGTACATGCTGTTTCCTATGGTGGCGCGATGAAGACCGATAGCGAATACTGTGAGTCAGAACGTGTGTCTCCTCCGGTATCGGAAGACGGGCGTGTTACCAGGCTGAAACCCGAGATGGGCAAGGCGTTCCTCAGTTTTTGCTATGTGGTGTTCGTCACATGGATCACCGCCTTCGTGATGGTGATCGTCCACGACCGCGTGCCCGATATGAAGAAGTATCCGCCGCTGCCGGACATTTTCCTCGACAATGTGCCGCATATTCCTTGGGCTTTCGACATGTGCGAAGTCACCGGCACGTTTTTGTTTACCATTTGGCTGATAGTACTGTTATTCCATAAACATAGGTGAGTTTTGCGCAAGAGTCACAAGTAAGAAAAACAGTTGAGACATTTTCACGGCGCAGAAAGACTAAAATTAACTTTTTTTATTATTGTTGATGGCATTGGTATCTCAGGTCTACCGTGTAACTGTTTCTAATTATAGTTTATGAAGGAAGAATGATACACGGTGGAATTTAACAGCATTTATAATTGTTTTTCACGCTTTGTGAATCGTTGGCGTTTTCTGATTTATTTTGAAAGTTTATGAAGTGATTTCGCATATTTTACCCGTGTTGTTATTTACTCGGAATTTCGATTAATTCCACACTTGAATACCATATTAGTTACAATTTTGCATAATTGGCAGTTATATGTATTTGTTTAATACAAATATTTGCATTCGAATTATTCATGCACTCCACATGTTTTCGGTGTTTGTTTAGTGTTATTAACACATGATAAGCTTTATTATAAATACGTGATTCATCCGTTTAATGTCCATCAACTATGCCCGATTGATCATTTGACGTAGCACGGAATTTCATTGTCGCGAAGGTCTATTACAAATAATAACAAGGTTCGAGCCACACAATGAGGGTAGCATTTGTAGGTATAAATACATTTGATCGTAAGTGAATGCACAAAAGCCAGCGCAACAAATTGAATCATCACAGTAGATTCGTCTCGGTCGTCTGGTGATTCTGGTTAATTAAAATTACACTATTGCTGTTTTAGTCATTGGGATTGATTTGATTTCTCGTTACTGTAATCAGTAACTTTGTTTTTGAGAGTTATTATGAATAAATTTGTAATTTCAAGTGGAACTTGAACTTAGAACCAGCTGTAAAGTCTGAAAAAGCATTGTTTAATGTTGTATTGTTATTATAATTTAGTTTTTATCGAGTCAAGTGTGGAGATAATTTTATTTGTTTCCAAGTTTAAGCAGGAGAGTGGCGCGTGCCTGGAATTTTTTGACTGATTTATTTAAATTATTAGAATATAATTATAATTCGTGCATTTTCAAAGTTGTTTGCATAAAAAATACAAAAAGTTAATGAGTTCTTTGTTTACAATTTGCTTCGAAATACTGTTAGAATTTTGTAAAATTTGTGTTTTATCGGATTTTTAATTGATTTAATGTTTTACGAAACAAATCTATTGGGACTCTCAATTTCTGTTGGTCTTATTAAAGATATGAAAAATTCAACTTGAAAACAATTTAAATTTTAAATTTATTAGAAACCATGGAAAATTTTAATTTTATTTTCTATTACTTTACTTCATTTGTTTGGCTATGTTAAATTTTCAATGTCATATTTAAATTGAGTATTTTTTGATAGTATTTTGCGATAGGCTAATCGAATTGTATTTTTGTTTTCATCGGTTTCATTTTCAATTGCGCACAATCCCACGTTCTACGCAACGAAAATAAAACACTTTGACCACGCTTAATGAAGTGTGTTTGCGGAGAAAACAACTTGCAACATGCGCTAGTTGATTGTTTATTAATTATAGCATCTACTGCGAAATAGTCAATAGATTCTCGTCCAAGTTATTGGATTAGAATGTTACGTTTTAATGGCGTACGCTTAATATTATACTAATTCTATAGATAAAAACGACATGAAGATGAAAACTTTCGCTATTTTGTTATCGTATTTACGTTTTTCACTACGCACGCAATCAAAAACGTGCTTCTTATCTCACATTTGTTGATTTGTTGATGTAATTTCTATTTGTTTATAAAACATGCGATGTTGGGTGAAATTATGAAAACAAACGCAAAACGGTCGTAAAATTGCTTACACGAGTTGTAAATTATTCTAAAATATCACATATTATTTATAATATTTTTATGGATATAGGTTCATCCTGATGAGAAGATTCTTCGCGCTGTCCGGCACCGTGTTCCTGCTGCGCTGCGTGACAATGCTCATCACATCGCTGAGTGTCCCCGGCGCCCATCTACAATGCGAGCCTCGTAACTATACCATACAAGGCACGAAATTCGAACATTTGGTGTTTAAAATTTCGCAAGCTTATTTCATTTGGCGTGGCGCAGGGATGTCCATCCAGGGAGTACGTACCTGCGGCGACTACATGTTCAGCGGGCACACCGTCGCACTCACCATGCTCAACTTCTTCATCACTGAATGTAAGAAACATTATTTTGTAAATGTATGTAACATTTAGTATGTAGGTAGCAAGAATTTCTTTTTGTTTTTCTTTTGCGTTGATACAAATGGCAAACAGGACTGTCACAGCTTATTTGAATAATTTTGATTTATGATTTTGTAGATACTCCAAGACACTTATATTTCCTACACACGCTCACGTGGATAATGAACATGTTCGGCATCTTCTTCATCCTTGCCGCACACGAGCACTACTCCATCGACGTCTTCGTGGCGTTCTACATCAGCAGTCGTCTTTTCCTCTACTATCACACTCTGTCCAATAATCAAGCGCTGATGCAGCGTGATTCAACACGGACGCGTATTTGGTTCCCGCTTTTTTCCTACTTCGAGTCCGAGGTGGACGGCATCGTTCCCAACGAATTCGAAACGCCTCGCGAGATTTTGCTCAACATTGTCGCTTTTTGCAAGCGCAAACTCAACGTGTATAAGGTGTACGAGGCTATCCGGCGGCGCGGTGAAGAAGTGCAGAGTTCACAACCTCTGCTGCAGAATAGCACATCATCGATGGCGACTTGCGCCGAGGCGAAAAAGACGAAATAACAGTACCGTCGATTAGGCTTTTCAAATTTATTTATTGATTGATACCAAAACTCACGCCAATGATGCAATCGCATGATATGATCACTTTACGCGTCAGACTAATCATTTTAGCAAATAAACGGTTGTTTGTCGCACGGTGCGCAATATAAACGAAAAAAACAAACAGAAAGACAGCATGATACATGAGTAAGATGATAGGCAAATAGCGTTGTTTGTGCTTTTCAAAGAGTCTAAAAAATATTTTGTACAATTGTTAAGTATGTAAATAAGCCGTAATTGAGCACACGTTGTTGATGCGTTGATGTCGGTTAAGGATAACTGCCAAAGTATTCGATTATAAGAAGGGTTTGTTGATGAAGATGGTTCCAAAGCTCGATTTCCATTTATTCGTGAAATGTTTTCCAGTAGTTTGTTGTTTTCCATTGAAACTTGAAAACATTCATTAAGTAAAAGTAGTTAATGATTGTGTTTGGGTTGTAAATTGTAAAGTACCAAAAATGAAATTTAGACTGTAAGTCATATTAGGTCATTTAGGAAGTTAACACGTGGTGAAATCTTATGATGTTGATAGTGGTTAGAGCATGTACAATCTAAATTTTTGCGTCTTCCTTATTTATTAATTAATGTTTACCAATTTAGCGATACTCAATTTTTAACTCGTTAATCAAACGATCGATATAGGATTTCCATAGAGACCTGAAAGACATCTCAGTGCACAACTTATAGTGTTAGGACAAATATTGTTGTTTCTGTTGTTAAATTTCCATTATTTCGTGTTTAATTTGTTATTTCTGTAGTAAATTGTAGGATTTATTACCTTGTGTGGAATTGTGTCGGAGAGAATCATGTAATATGCAAATGCAAACAAAATGCAAAACGCACGTAATTGTAATCCAATGATGCAGTATGATGGTGTATTTAATTATTTATACAAATCTAATGAATATTTTTACATTTTACATGGTTTAATGTACATAATTGTAGAGTGAGCAATTGCGATGCGTTGAAATGGTTTGAAATAAAGATATTTGTATATTTTTTTATATATATAAAAATAATTTATTAGAAATTATTGTGCAGCGGGGAAATTGAACGTTTTTTTCACGAGGAAATCGCGGAAATTGGAATGCAAGTTTACATTCGGAAATAATATATAATTATATATTTTTCACAGAGATGGGGCTGGGATGTACTTATTGGCATTTAATAATGTTTTGTTGTGTCCTTGAAGCTGTGCGTGAATATGCACGTTTACTAATAGAACTCTATGAGTTCAGCATAGATGGCGTTAAGATGCACTTGACTGCAATAAATTCGCGACATTGGCTTGAGTCGTTACTGCGACTTGTTCTTACCTTTTAGTCGTTTTTTTGCGTGTGCACGTTTCAGGCGTTTATTGTGGTAAATTGAACTATATCGAATAAGCCATTCGGCAGTTTATTAGAATAGTATACATTGCATGTGACTTTGAAGCAATGTAATTGTTTTGTTCAACGTACATCTCCGCAAGAAGAATGCACCAATGGCTCATCAGTTCATCGGAGTCAACAGTTTCAGTAAGTGAGAGTTTTATTACAATTCTTTTTACAAGTATGATGTATTCAATTTTATAATTCGCCGGTTCTTCTAGTGCAATAGTTTCCAAGTGTAACTAGAAAGTGCGTTACAAGTCTTACTCACTTTTAAAATGGTAAATGGTACATCGCGCGTTGGTTTAGATCTAGAATCGACGGTATTTACTGGTCATAACCGTGATTGATGTTTTCCTAATGATTTACCGTTTGTGAAACTTTCGTTGTCGTTAATTTATTGCGTTGTGCATGTTTACGTTTGTTGTGTGCGAGTTGCCGTCGGACGGCATCCAGCGATATTTTGTGTTCGTAATATTGATTAAAGTTAGTTTGCACTTAATTTTATACTGATACAAAAACCATTTCAGTCGTGTGTAGAATTTATTTTTATTTACAATTATATATTTGCAAATTTGCAAATATTACATATATTTATATTTACAATTATAGCGAATAACATGGTTTCGAACGCGAATGCATTTAAACATTACGAGTATAGGAAATAATCATCTGCTTCCTCTTTATTACAATTATATTAACACTATGTAAAATAATTAAATAATATATGCATTATTAGTTTACATCACAAATTCAAATTAGTTATTGTCGTACATGTTTATATGCTATTTGACTTTTTGAATGAAGTTGAAAATTAATATTTTGATTGCTTCATCTCTGTAAAATTATAATTATAAACTTTTAGGGCACTTTTCCTAAAATTTGATCAAAGTCGCTTTCTGCAGGAAAATTACACCCGTGTGTCAGATAAATCTTTCGATATAGGTATTTAGAAACTCTATAAAATGATAATAACTGTATAATGTGATGTAAGATGTAGCTAGTATGCACTTATTTGATTTAAATTCTAAGTGTGTTTATCGCAGCTAGTTCTTTGTTGGTAGTAGTGAGTGTACCTCTCCTTATATGGATATTCGCGTGTCCGTGTGCGATCACCCGATTTCGGGTATCCAATTGTGTTTATCAGTTATTTGTTTGTTTACATTCGTGAATCTACCTGCTGGACTCACGCACAGCGTTTGTTTTGTATTCGGGCAGTCGCGGCTTGTTATTCGCCGGTGTAGCGTTTTACGTGTGAATTTACCTTAGCCGAGTCCGTTGGATACCTTGTGCAGTGTATCTAGGCTGTCACGTTGTATCGGACGATTTTAATTCGGTAAATTGTAGTTGTTTTTGAATACATAATCCATTTTATGATATAAATAAGTTTATTAAAAGACCAGTAAATACAGGTATTTTAAATTGCGTATAATAATAAAATATAATTAAGAATAATGTTACTGTTAAGAATAATGTAATGTTACTGTGCGTGAAATATTTAAAAAGGCTAAATAGATCAGCTGTCGGATATCTATGGATTAGAAACACAACGTCGGACAAGCAGATACCCTCGTAAGTAATATCAATTGTATAATTATATGATAGAGAATTTTCCGTAGATTAAGACACTGCGATTTATTCGCAATTCAAATAAATCGTCAAAATTTGAGACCGGTCAGCATTTTTCAATCTTCCGTAATCAATTTTCTGGTTGCTATCTCTTTTAGTTTAGAAGATATTCGCTGTCGAAAATCGTCGATAAAAACCAACAACTAATAATATGATAATAATTATAATAATATTATAATTAGATTAATTTATTTTGAATAAGGATATCCTATTGACTTCTATATTTGTTTTGAATTATGTGTTAAAATTGCTAGTAGTTTAGATAGGGTGGTGCATTCGCACTCTCGTGTACGTGTTATACACGGCCACGGCCACTTAAGTGCGTGACCACTCACTGATACATATGCAATTGCTCACTGCCTCATATGTACGCCACACTTTTTGAAATGCTTTGTATTTTCTAGAGGTACAATAAAGTACTCTCAGGTAGCGCAACGATGCAAGTTTTAGCTAAAAACATTGCTGCGAGTGAAAGTCGACGTGCACAGTTGTGATGCCGGCACGCAGCTCTTACTTCGTGCGGCAGATAAGAATACTCGTACTCCGTCGAGTATTCGTGTTTCTCGTTGTAAGTTTGGTATATCGCGTTATATTTTATTGAATTTAGTGTTAATTGCCGTGTTTTGTCATTCGGTAAATATTTATCGCGTATGTAGTCTTTAGTATTCAATATTTTGTGTGTTTATTACATTTTCGCGTGGATTTCTGATCGGTTGCCGTCGGACGCCGGCCAGCAGACTTTGTGTGTGATTATAAATAATATTTTGAACTTGTGCGAACCATTTTTGACTTCTGCACCACTCGTTGGCTCATTGTGTTACTTGGTACGAATACTAATTTAAATAATTATTGAGAACAAGACGAAATGTATGATAAAATCTGGGTTCCGCCGGAACTCATTGTCCGAAATTGTGTAACTAATGTTTTGCTTTTTATTTATTTCAGTATCTACTTACATTTGATTTGAGGTGTTCGATACACTGGTAAGTAAAATTTTTATCATTTATAGTATCTGTTTTCTTGATTTCTTGCAATTGGAAAATTGATATCTTTTGCGGATATCTTTGCTTCAATAAATCCTTCAATAAAACTCAAATCATAAATCATAATTTCATGATTTAAATTTTAGTTCACTAGCATAAAATAGAATTGTATTAGTTTTGAAGATAGTTCTATTGTGAGCGTTTGTGTATAAGCAACTTTTTTTATCGCATTTGCCGTGCGAAATGCTACGCGTAAGATTCTCGTCGCGCTGTCGCATGCAGCAAATTTTAGTTTATAGTTGTTATCACAGGTACCGTGTCTATAGCAATTCGTGCACAAGATTACGTGTCATCAAGGCGCCGCCGGCTTTGCGCATCTATTGCAATTCGCGCACAAGGTCGCGTGGTATCGACGCGTTGGCTTTGCGCATCTATTGCTTTTACCTGCCGGGTTTATGCAGCAGGCACAGAGTCTTATTGTGCACTGTCGCATCCTTGCGTGCACAGTTTTGGCATTGATAGATTGCAGCTAGTTTACGAGTAGTGCCGGTCTCTGGCGTATCCAGACGTATATCGCGCAACGCGTTTCGATTTATCAGACTTCTATTTTCAAAGTTTGCATTATATTCAGTCATCAATCTACTTAGTCGTAATATGTATCTACAGTATTTTCTTAATAAGCAAATGTGCACAATTGTTTTTTTTTGCTTGCTTTTGATGTTTTTATTTCAAATCAAATATTTCGGTTATTGTGGGACGTGGTCGGTCGCTAGATCAATCGGAAACCTATTCGTGCTTGAGTAAGTTACTTTTATCTGACCATTGCGATATTCAGCACAGATAGTTTGTTTTCTTCCATGTGTGAATATAATATTATCATATTGTATGAAATGTCTTTGTTTTAACTTATGTTATTACAGTACTTGCCGTACCCATGCAATCCGATGAGCGCTACATTGGTAAGTTTTTAATTAAGTTATATTATTTGGTTAAATGTTTTATCACATTTCACCTGCGTGTTGCCATAGCCCGCGAATTAGGGGGACCGTATACTATATTTCTCTTAATGGTAATATGGAAAACGGATCATATTGCGGAAAACTTTTGTAAAAAGTTCAATTTTTTTATCGGATTCTGATAGCGCAAGAGGGTTTTGCTAATTTTTTTACTGATTTAGTTCAGTCACATTCGGTGTACCGTAGCAGGGTGATGATAGAAGTGACTCACATTCAGGGCACCGTACGAGGGCAGGGGTAGTAGTGACTCGTGTTCAGGGCACCGTACGAAGGTAGCGGTAGAAGTGACTCGTGTTCAGGGCACCGTACGAAGGTAGCGGTAGAAGTGACTCGTGTTCAGGGCAGCCTACGAAGGTAACGGAAGTGAATTCTCCGTCGGGTGGTATTTAATTGTTGCAGGATATCGACCTGCAACCCGCGAAAATTTGCATATAAGGGTAATTTTTCAACCCTATTTTGTGAAATATTTGTGTTTTCTTGGGTTTGCGCACGATCTGGGCGGCGTAGTAGCTCCAACGTGGCATCTAGATGTGCGGAATTAAATTCTCCGTCGGGTGGTATTTAATTGTTGCAGGAATTCAATCTGCAACCCGCCAAAAATTTGCATATAAGCGTAATTTTCAACCTTTTATCGTGAAATGTTTGTTGTTTTTCGGGTTTGCTCGCGATCTAGGCAGCGTAGTAACCTCAGCATCGCGTCTAGAGATGCGGAATTAAATTCTCCGTCGGGTGGTATTTAATTGTTGCAGGATATCGACCTGCAACCCGCCAAAAATTTGCATATAAGCGTAATTTTCAACCTTTTATGGTGAAATGTTTGTTTTTTTTTCGGGTTTGCTCGCGATCTAGGCAGCGTAGTAACCTCAGCGTGGCGTCTAGAGATGCGGAATTAAATTCTCCGTCGGGTGGTATTTAATTGTTGCAGGATATCGATCTGCAACCCGCGAACATTTGCATATAAGTGTAATTGTTTAACCTTTTTTTGTGAAATATTTGGTTTTCTTGGGTTTGCACGCGATTTAGGCCGCGTAGTAACCTCAGCGTGGCGACTAGTGATGCGGAATTAAATTCTACGTCGGGTGGTATTTAATTGTTGCAGGAATTCGATCTGCAACCCGCCAAAAATTTGCATATAAGCGTAATTTTCAACCCTTTTTCGTGAAATGTTTGTTTTTTCGAGTTTGCATGCGAGCTAGGAAGCGTAGTAACCTCAGCGTGGCGTCTAGAGATGCGGAATTAAATTCTCCGTCGGGTGGTATTTAATTGTTGCAGGAATTAGATCTGCAACCCGCGAAAATTTGCATATAAGTGTAATTGTTCAACCTTTTTTTGTGAAATATTTGTGTTTTCTTGGTTTTGCGCGCGATCTAGGCAGCGTAGTAATTTCAGCGTGGTGTCTAGAGATGCGGAATTAAATTCTCCGTCGGGTGGTATTTAATTGTTGCAGGATATCGACCTGCAACCCGCGAAAATTTGCATATAAGTGTAATTGTTCAACCTTTTTTTTTGAAATATTTGTGCTTTCTTGGTTTTGCGCGCGATCTAGGCAGCGTAGTAATTTCAGCGTGGTGTCTATACATGCGGAATTAAATTCTCCGTCGGGTGGTATTTAATTGTTGCAGGAATTCGATTTGCAACCCCCCAAAAATTTGCATGTAAGCGTAATTTTCAACCCTTTTTCGTGAAATGTTTGTTTTTTCGGGTTTGCATGCGAGCTAGGCAGCGTAGTAACCTCAGCGTGGCGTCTAGAGATGCGGAATTAAATTCTCCGTCGGGTGGTATTTAATTGTTGCAGGATATCGACCTGCAACCCGCGAAAATTTGCATATAAGGGTAATTTTTCAACCCTATTTTGTGAAATATTTGTGTTTTCTTGGGTTTGCGCACGATCTGGGCGGCGTAGTAGCTCCAACGTGGCGTCTTGAGATGCGGAATTAAATTCTCCGTCGGGTGGTATTTAATTGTTGCAGGATATCGACCTGCAACCCGCGAAAATTTGCATATAAGGGTAATTTTTCAACCCTATTTTGTGAAATATTTGTGTTTTCTTGGGTTTGCGCGCGATCTAGGCGGCGTAGTAGCTCCAACGTGGCGTCTTGAGATGCGGAATTAAATTCTCCGTCGGGTGGTATTTAATTGTTGCAGGATATCGACCTGCAACCCGCGAAAATTTGCATATAAGTGTAATTGTTCAACCTTTTTTTGTGAAATATTTGGTTTTCTGGGGTTTGCGCGCGATCTAGGCAGCGTAGTAACCTCAGCGTGGCGTCTGGAGATGCGGAATTAAATTCTCCGTCGGGTGGTATTTAATTGTTGCAGGAATTCGATCTGCAATCCGCCAAAAATTTGCATATAAGCGTAATTTTCAACCCTTTTTCGTGAAATGTTTGTGTTTTTTCGGGTTTGCACGCGATCTAGGCAGCGTAGTAACTTCAGCGTGGCGTCTAGAGATGCGGAATTAAATTCTCCGTCGGGTGGTATTTAATTGTTGCAGGAATTCAACCTGCAGCCCGCCAAAAATTTGCATATAAACGTAATTTTTCAACCCTTTTTCGTGAAATGTTTGTGCTTTTAATTTTTAAGAAAAAATTGCCAAGGGGGTGCTTGATACTTTTTTTCAACGATTTTCAAAAATTAATATTTCTTAAACTAAAAGAGATAGCTACCAACGAATCGTTGATTATGAAAGATTGGAAATTTCTCTATGAGATAAAAATATAAAATAATTATATTTCCTACAGTAAAAGGTTGAAAAACGCGACTGAAAGTGCTAAAAAGTGACATTTTTCAGTTTTTGCCAATTTTATTCAATCGCGAATATCTCGTAAACTAAAAGAGATAAATAGGATCTGATCGCAGTGTCTTAATCTACGGAGTATTCTCTATAAGATATTTATTGTTCTACACACATATAAAGTGTGAAGTAACCTGTGCAGAAATGTGTGTGTAAAGTGAGCCATAGAAGTTGTACATAAAAAATACAACGATATACTTTTGTGGATAAAGTACTCGAAAAACACCCGCAAATTTCAGTAATATTTCCCGCATTTTTAGTGTTTTGCGATGGAAATAATTGTTAAAAAAGAATTGTTCTTTAAAATACTCCTTCTCTCAATTCCCTTAATTAAATAGAATTATTATTTAAAATATTGGAATTATTTGTATTTTCAAGGTGTGTTTACACAAGTTTGTGATCTACACAGAATTCTTAATCGCGTTTCGGAAAATAAAGTGCATAATTTAATTATTACAAAGACGCTTTTAAAAATTATCTGCGTATTATTAAAATGACAATATTCACGGTTTCGCTGAACACGTGAACGTTTTTAATCGAATTGCACTCGATAACATCATTAAATAAAGAAATTTCTTGTTGATCTAATAAAATCTTGTATGATGAAGTTTTTTAGTTTTTGTAGTTTGCGTGTTTGTATCTTAATATTTACAAAGAAATAGTTATTTTTGTCGTATTTACCGACTGTATTGATACACGCCGTCGCTTGCCGTCTGTTGATTTAGATTTAATTTATGATGATGCTTCACCTGTCTGTTACTATATACAGTTGATGTTTCCATCAATTAATAAATATATATTCACAATATATTAAAATGTAAGTGTTTAATTTTTGTAGCACTTTTTTGCTCAATTACCCGTTGATTTTCTGGTAAAATCTTGGATTTTATCTTGGATGTGAATATTGATTATCTTTGTAGTTGCGAAAGTTTTTTGTTTGTAACATCCTGTATATTAGTTTTCGTAACACCACGTAGAAGATTGTCTTTATTTGCGAGTTTTGAAGGTTCTTTGTTTCGAACTTGGGATTTTCTTTCTGGAACACCCTGTATTTGTTTTTCTTTGTGTCCGTGAAAATTTTGCTTCAGCTGTTGTTTTAGGGCTTACTTTTTTTTCACTTCGAATTTTCTTTTTGTAACACCCTGTTTATTAGTTTTCCGGAACATCGGGTAAAAGCGAGCAATATTTGTAGTGTTTAAATGCTTTCCCCTTTGATCGTTGAATTTTCTATTTGTGACACCCTGTATAATCGCTTTCCTTCACATCCCTGAAAATTTTGCTTTGACTCTTATTAGAATTTAACTTTTGGCACAATTTTCTTGTTATAACACCCTGTATCTTAGTTTCCCATTCATCGGGTGAAAAACGAGCGATATTTGTAGTGTTTTTTGTTTGCACTTTAAATATTTCTTTTGTAACACTCTGTATATTGGTTTTCAATTTCAGTCACCTAGAAAATTGGTTATGTACTAATTTCATTATCCCGGTAGTACTTTATAAAGTAGTACTTGCTTGCGTGTGCGCGGCTATGCAGGTCGTAAGTCCTGCTTCAATATGGCGACTTGTATTTTATTGACTTGTAAAATCTATACATGTACTCTATTGTTAATAAAGAAATAGAAAGATATATTGACTTCTTTGATTTGTGTACCCCTTCTATCATTTCAGGTACAGGTCTCTAAGAGAGTTCTCTCTCTCAGGGGATGATCCCCACTATAAAAATTGTTAAGGTATCCTGTGTGATTTGTGTGCTCCTTCTTTCATTTCAGCTACAGGTCAGAACTTGTAAGAATATTTTTAGGTGTCACCTCTCTTGAGGCGACTTAAAACTTAGAAATATTTGAACAAGACCTTATAAGGATTGTCCTTATAAGGAGTTCCCTCTCTCTGGGGGTGATCCCCCACCATAAAAATTGTTGATATGCCTGATAATTTCGGGGATGAAGCGCAGAGACATCGTAGCTGTAGGATGGGCCGGGAGCAATGGACACATCGAAGCAGTAGACTGTCTAACGACACGTGCCAAAAAATTTAAAAATCTGATCCTCTCCTGTTCTCTTTCTTCCATCTTCTCCTCTTCTCTCTACTCTGTTCTCTTCCTTCTATCTTCTCCCATTCTCTACTCCTTCCTTCTTCTTCTATTTCTATTTCGCGGTTCCCCGTTTCTCCACTTGCTTTCTTATTTCTTCTCATATTGCCTTCACTTTTATTATATTTCTCTTATATTTCGTTGCAATTCATATATGCAACCCAAATTACACCTGATATTTTCATATTTGAGAAAAATGCCTTCTATACCTGAGACTCGATCCGCGTCTGCTAGCATGCCAGCAGGTGCACGTCTCCACTCGACCACCGAGTGTTTTTATCACTGTTATTTGATTCTTCTATTTATGTTTCTACTTTATTCAACTTTTTAAAAACAACAACACAAGTCTTAGGTATATTCCACTCGCTCGACGCGCATAAGATTTATATGCAATATTATTTAAGACGTCAATACTGAAAACGACAAAGAGGATACCACAAAGAAATATGAATGGGATTTTAATATTACATTGTGTTTTATTGACAACATTTAACAATAGATACATTTTTTTAAATAAAAATATCGACAGTTAACAAATTATACCGCAATAAAGACCAAACTTCCAAAACTTCCGTTATAAATATTGCAAACTCCATTTGTGCACTCACAAAACTTTCTTTGTGGATACCAGCGTCTATTTGCACGAGTTAATTATAAAAGATAACCGTTTGCCGACGGGCACACACGCGCTTCGGAAAACCGAAATTGAATCCGCGATTGAAAAACACCCAACGCGTGCAATCACACTTTTAAAACCCCCGTCACGTCCGATTCTGGTATATGCCGTCGATTGCTTAACGAATATAAATTTACTTAATTATACATCGATTTGCTTAATTATGATCAGACAAAATAGAACTAGTCGCGATAAACACGCGCGGTTTATTCGACGACCGGAATGAAACTGCGGTTCACTGGGCTGCACGCAGCCAACGCCGACAACGTGCGGCCACTATCGCTGTTGCGATACGCTCGCTGAACGCGACAAAAAAATTGTTTCCATGCAAAATATCGACACGTATTTCGTGACAGCATGGCAGTGCAAGTTTTGGCGCCATTAACGCCCTGTGCAAAATTTCTACGACGTTCCAACTGCAAATCATTATTCCCAATATCGTTTTCGACCACAACTTACAACTTTTCAAAAATGAGCTAAATTACTGAAATTGGAGATCAATTTTAGGGTACTTCCCGACCCTTGAGGGTATCAAAATGAAGTTCATTTAATTAAGTAACACTTCCTCTGTTATCTGAAGAAAAGAAAATAAAAATCGGGCCAGGGAAACGCAAGATACAGACCATTTTCCACCAGAACATTTCAAAAATGTACAAAATTGCTGAAATTGGAGATCAATTTAAGGGCACTTCCCGACTGTTGATGGAACCAAAATGAAGTCCATTTAATTAAGTAACTCTGCGTCTCTGATCTGAAGGAAATAAAATAAAAATCGAGCCAGAGAAACACAATATACAGACCATTTTCCACCAAAACTTGTCAAAAATGAACAAAATTGCTGAAATTGAAGATAAATTTAAGGGCACTTCCCGACCCTTGATGGTATCAAAATGAAGTCCATTTAATTACATAACTCTTCCTCTGTCATCTGAAGCAAAGAAAATAAAAATCGAGCCAGAGAAACGCAAGATACAGACCATTTTGCACCAAACCTTTTCAAAAATGAACAAAATGGCTGAAATTGGAGATCAATTTAAAGACACTTTCCGACCTTTGATGGTACCAAAATATAGTCCATTTAATTAAGTAACGCTTCGTCTCAGATCTGAAGCAAACAAAATAAAAATCGAGCCAAAGAAACGCAAGATACAGACAACTTTCCACCAAAACTTTTCAAAAATGTACAAAATTGCTGAATTTGGAGATTAATTTTAAAGCACTTCGCGACCATTAATGGTATCAAAATGAGTTCAATTTAATTAAGTAACTCTTCCTCTGTCATCTGAAGCAAACAAAATAAAAATCCAGCCATTGAAACACAAGATACAGACCATTTTCCACCAGAACTTTTCAAAAATGTTCAAAATTGCTGAAATTGGAGATCAATTTAAGGGCACTTCCCGACGTTTGATGGTATCAAAATGTAGTCCATTTGATTAAGCATCTCTTCTTCTGTTATCTGAACAAAAGAAAATAAAAATCGAGCCAGAAAAACCCAAGATACAGACCATTTTCCACCAGAACATTTAAAAAATGAACAAAATTGCTGAATTTGGAGATCAATTTAAGGACACTTCCCGACCTTTGATGGTACCAAAATGTAGTCCATTTAATTAAGTAACTCGTTCTCTGTCATCTGAAGCAAACAAAATAAAAATCGAGCCAGAGAAACGCAAGATACAGACCATTTTACACCAGACGTTATCAAAAATAAACAAAATAGCTGAAATTGGAGATCACTTTAAGGGCACTTCCCGACATTTGATGGTATCAAAATGTAGTCCATTTGATTAAGCAACTCTTTCTCTCTGATCTGAAACAAACAAAATAAAAATCAAGCCAGAGAGACGCAAGATACAGACCATTTTTCACTAGAACCATAATCCATAATCCACTAATGAAGTTGAATAGCAGGGGCTTAGGGAATCGCCTTGTCTTACCCTGTTCCTACTTTATGGGGTCTGTGCGTTGTTCGGCTATTGCTAGTTGCAGTTCGTTGTTGTTGTAGATGTCCCTTATAGTATTGATGATATCAGATGCGATGTTTCTTTTCGGAGTATGCTGGTTATGTCTTGGAGCTGCACTCTGTCAAACGCTTTCCTTAGGTCCACGAAGGAAAGAAAAGCCGGTTTGTTCCACTCCACGGCTTTTTCCTTCACCTGTCTTATTATGAATATTGCGTCGTTACAGGACCTTCCTTTCCTGAAGCCCTGTTGTTCGTCTGATAGTGTGGTGTGTGCTAATATCTTGTTCGCTAGTAATCGAGTTGTTAGTTTCAGGGTGGTGTTTAGCAGAGCTATTCCTCGATAGTTGGATGGTTCTTGCTTATCTCCTTTCTTAAACATCATTATTAGTGTGCTCAATTTCCATTCAGTTGGTACTCTCTGATGCTTCAGCAAATTAACTTTAATACATAAAATTGGCTATCTCAAAATATCGACGACACACCAAACACAAGCACCGAAGAAAACAAAGGTTGCGTTACACCGATTCCATACACCGTAAATCGTAAGTTAAAAACAAACACGTTGATTGCAACTGCACGCGGCACGCGGTACGTACGCACGTACGCTTCCAGCGGTTGCCGGTCGCAACTGAAGCAACGTGTTATTGCAAGCCAAGGACTTTAGCGGCTGTCTTGCGCATTACATTCGCATCGACGTATCTGCAAAAAATTGTTTATACACAAGCACTGATAAACGTGCCTTGCATACACAGCCAACCATCTAAACTAAATCTGGCATTAGGAACTCTACAATACTAAATAATACAAATTCCTACTGAAAAATTATGCGTTCCTTTTAAAAATCAATTTAAACGTAAAAAAACTAAAGAAGTTATAATATCAATATGCAGGCCCTCCACAACAATTAACAACCACACAAATTGTTAATTTTTATGCTTGTTTTATATTAATAAATATGAATTGTACATTTTACAGTTTTGCAATCATCATTGCAACCTCATTGCAGTTTCGTTCATCGTATCAATGCGCATCTTAAGTAATATCAACATTTTTACAGCCTCTCTTGCTTTCATGTTTCATGTACAACAAATCACAACTGAATTAAGTAGAGTGATGCTACAAAACGGCAATTATTTTTAACATTTGCACAACATGTAATAAACAGAACAAGAAACAAAAACCAGAAATGTGGACGTATCAATGATTCCGCATTTGCACTCGACAACATTTTCCCCTCTTCCGGTCTAAAGTGTTTTCTAATATTCTAATAAATTCACTGCCCGCTATATGTCATTGAAACTTCATCTATGTACAAAAATTGCATCGCATACACGTATATGTCTCACATACAAAAATATATTCCAACTAATACTGATGTGCAAATCCACTTGCTCACAATTGTTCCACACAGCAACAATGCGCTATCAATATGGGGCTTGCAGGGGTTATTCTCATATCATAATCATCGTTTATAAATATGTATTAGCGTTAGTAACAAGTATCCGTACAGCGCGCGTCCATTACGTGTTTATTATCAGTCGCAAGTTTCAAAATCGTTTAAAAATTTTCCACATTTTGCAAAGTCCTCAATTAAAAAATATATTCTGCACATGACGTGGTCATGTTCTATCATATTCACGAATATAAAATACATTTGTAACAATAGTTTCAATAGAAGAATTATTAAAGTTAACATGGGGAACTGAATCGATAATAAATTCGTTCGCTTTGTGCAAATTTGTTTCCACTGGTTAATTATTAGGTAGGTATAGTTTACGTGAAAGCCAAAGTTTACTCGTTAAGGGGTAGATTATTGTTGTATGTATTAGGGGTATGTTATCTTGTAATGCGCAAGCACCATCGATATCTCATGCACACATGTAACAACTAGCGTGTCGCTGAAGACACGGTGCTTTAGTTTTAGGCAAACAACAACTGTCGAGTTACTTGAATTTAAAAAATAAATTTCCAAAACACAAGAGTTTTGAATACATTCATAGGGGTTGCAATTCGTTATATACACATCAGTAGAAAACACATTGAGTATTATGTCCAAACAGTGAGATTGCTTATCGAATATTTGCTCATTTGGTCAAAATGAAGAAACACGAAAAGAAAAACAAAAAACGTCGTCAGATTTTCACATATTTTTCTCATGTATTTTTTTTGTTCATTTCTTTTTTCCTCAAAAAATTTCATCTTCAAATATTTATATAATATATAAATAATAAATAACTATGTACTCGATTAATTAACGAATCAATTGCCAAGAATGAATCAATCAATTAATTTATATAACTATGATATAATAATATTGTGTATGCAAACGTATGCAAACTAACTTAACACTTAGACGATAGTATTCACAACAGCGCGCAAGTTTCCGTGGAAATATAACAAAGGTAATAAACGCAACGATTCTCATTGATTTCTTTACAAATTACGATTTAGCACTTACATATAGATAACGCTAGATTAGCAATAATATTAAGTTATTTTTAAACTATAATTTTGAGTATCTTTGATTTATATAAAAACGCTAATAGAAATTGCCAATGTTACGCATCGCCATTCACACAAAATTTACACAATATAAGATATTTTCGCTATATTTCCAAAGAAACGTTAGTTTTTCTCGATTTTCAGCTGAAACGTCCAAATTTGATTCCGAATTTACATGGAACAAAACTTGCGCGTTCTAGCTCTTCATGTGCTTGTCGACAAAAAAGAAAAAAAAACGATAAAAAATAATAAATAAACATTAAAAACTTAACAACAATTATTACGTTACTAACTAAAAATGTCTTAGTTGCCACTTTTTAGTGTGTTCTTCCAACTTTTACGTCTTATCATAATAAATTCAACTGCAGTTTGGTTTGCTATGTTCCGGAAAGGAAAAATATATCCAAGGACTGGGAATGTTAGTGGTTAGTAGGGAATGATCATTTTAAGGTGATAGTTATTGGGATTGGGGGGTGGAAATTGCAGAACAGCTAAGTAAGTGATGCGACTTGAGAGAGACGGTGTTTAGGTACACTCGATGATGTGCGGCTGCGACGATTCAATCACACTTGGCCGTGTCTCTACTTTACTGGGGTGAGATGTTGGGGGCGCACGTTGTGATTGAATAACCTGCGGCGGCCTTGACAATCCAGGGTGGAGCACTGTGTGGCTGACAGGTGGTTGATGCGCGTGCTCGTAAATCTCTCTGGATTCTTCAAACATTTCCTTTTTCATTTCCACCGAACCTTTTGAAACACATTTGTTAAAATCAAGTATTTTTACAGAATAATATAAAATATGCTTACCCATGCTATTTTCAGAATTAGCATAATCATAATATCCATTCGGTGAGCATTCGCCATTGAGCTCTTCATCGATATTGTTCGGTCGACAACTCGTCGTCTTCCAATGCGTTCGCAGTCCCGACGCACTGATGTAATTCTTCCCGCATTCTTGGCAAATGTACGGCCGTTCATTGGTGTGCAGTCGTTTGTGCAGCTTCAAATGCACAAATTGCGTGAACTTCGCCGGGCAAAAATCGCACGCGTATGGTTTTTGTCCACTGTGCAGTCGCAGATGAGTCTTGAGATTCGACGTCGACGAGAAGCGCTTCTTACAAATGACGCATTCATGAGGGCGTTCGCCAGTGTGCACAAGGTGGTGCTTCTGTAGGTGTGCCAATTGTGTGAAGCTCTTTGTGCAGACATTGCACTTGAAGGGACGTTCCCCACTGTGCGTCCTTAAGTGAACCTTCAGGTTGCTTAACTGACCAAAAGTCTTGCAACACACATTGCATTCGTAGTGCATTTTACCATCCTTCTTCTTGAGCGGATACGGCAGACTCCGATAGCCACGTGAGGTACCATTCGGACTCGTCGGACTCAGACTACAAGTAAGGTCAGGGCTATGTGAACCAGGTGGAGAAGGACGTGATGGATGTTGTAAGGGCGTCAAAGGTGTAAGTAGCTGATGTCCCAAACCACCGCTCATCATATGCGAGGTGGAAATCATTAAATTCGTCGTGGGATGTGTGGATGCAAACGTTGTCGTGATGGGAGGAGAATATGAGCTCGTAGGCGGAGCCGGCGCTGATGTAATCGTACTATGCACATTATTCGGGTACATGTTGTAGTAAGTCTGTGAAGGTTGATGATAATCATAATTCATGTAGAAATTAGGATTTCCTGGACTCGGAGGGGAGGCCTTAGCACCACTCGGCGGTGATGTTTGTGGTGCAGCTGCATTCATGTTGGAGCTGGAATCAGGCGAGCAAGGTACCGTACCATATCGATGACTCTTTTTGTATGAATACGCCATCTCTGTAGGTGAGCTCGGAGGAGGCGTTGCATTTGGCTGCCGTTGATTAGGATCATTGTTATTTGTGTCGATTCTATTTCTCAATAGGATATTCTCTAGGATGCTCGACGAGGGCGGCGTGTATCTTGCAATGTGCGGTTGGGGGCTGGGCTTGACGTCGTTCTCGTAGAACGGCTTGTTAGGAACTTCGTGCGGCGGTGAGTCGTAGACAATCACCGAACTAGGAGGAGTGACAATTGTCGAGGTGGTGGTCAACTCCGGTACTGCAGTTGCAGGGGGTGATGCAGCTTTCTCCATCTCATGATCACTCTCATGAGTACTGCCCGTCTTGGACTTGTAGTGGTACGCCTTGGTGATCTTGATCTTCACCTTGCGATACTCGTTTTTGTTGGCTTCGGGCGCAACGGGTTTAATCACCGCTGTCTCCCCGCTTGGTTTCTTACTGAAGTCCAAGACGTAGTTGTTCTCGGAGTCTGAATCTGAAGAATCTTCAGGTGGGGTGAAAGCGTCGTCGTGATATCCGTTACTGTGGTACCCTTCATCCGAACGAACACTACCGTCAGTAGGAGTCAACTGATGCTCGTAGGGAGGTGCGCCATCTTTATTTGCCGGTTCTGTGGTGCTTACTGTGATCACCTCTGAACTTTGTTGCACTTGCTGACCTGTTGACATTTGAAAAGTTGAAGATCGATAACAACTTGTAATTGAACATGTATACAGGAGGGTGTGATGACACCCCACACAGGGAGCAACTCTGACATTTCCGAAATGCCCGGGATTCTGTAACTTACGTATCCGCTGAAGCATTTGTTCTCCGGTGAGTGGGTAGTTGAGCCTTTCAGCAAACTCCCGGCAGTACCACACCAACAACTCCTGATTGGGGAGGATCGGTTTGATCGTGTAGAAATATATATTCATCTTGTATTGGCAAGCGATTAGATTCTGTGATTCGCTGGAATAGGCCGGGTTGACGTAGCGCATCCAGTTGGCCTTCGACGTATCGAATCCGTCGATGTAGTAATACAGTTCATTTTCTTTGTAAATCTGAATCAATGGACAAAAATATTCAAATCAATATTTATGGGTCATAAAACTACAGAAAACCCAGCAAAATAGGATGTAAAATGGTGAAAAATGAAGGTAATGTCATTGGCAGAGCGTCAAGGTCTTTGTTGATGGTTTTGCAATGTATTTACCAGACGGAAAATTGTTTTTCCTAGCATGAACGATGCTACTAAAAATAATTTCACCTCCAAGCAACACGTACACCAACAGTGTTAAAGCAACAGCTTTCCATTTCACATTTTTAACCGATTCCATTGCCAAAAATAAAACCCATAGAGATCAATTTAGGCACTTATTAAATTCCTTTAATATTAGTAATTTAGTTGATGTAATATTAAAGATTACAAGGGCTCATTTTAAAAATAGACCCAAATGAATCAGGTAAACATTGCAAAAACAAAAATAGCCCAGTGACGCTCCAAGTTAGAAAAACCGTTTGCCGAAAACATGGGGCAGAGTGATGATGGTTAATAAGCTGTTAAACAGTTAGAATGACTCTCAGATCCTTGTAGCATGTTTAGAAATTGTGTAATTTTGTGTACCTTTGCCTCATTATTAGTGTTACGGATATAACCATCTCGCAGCTGTACCTGGATCAAAAGAAAAGAAAGAAAAGATTGTAAAATAAAAGAAACCACCAAGGAAATTTGTTAAACTTAATTATAAACTAACATATCATAAATAATCAAACTTTTTCCACCAAAGAAAACTTTAAAAAGTAATAAAATATGTTTTTCAAAAAGTTTAACTTACCCTCCAGAAATATTTTCGATTTGCAGATGGAGGAACTGCATCTTTGGCGTAGATTTCTCCCACGAGAGGTCCAAAGCGTGTCCCTCGTGGGATGTAACCGGTGCTCCAAACACCCTGAGCCTTAAAAATCAAATTTTTTATTAGTTTTTTTCAAATTTTTAATTTTTATGAATAATTGTTTACATCTGAAAGAGCTTGAGACGATTTGAGCACGAGATTTCGGGGCAGCGTCGACTCGGCGCGATTTGGCGTGCCAACTTCCACTGGAAGATCCGGTACGATATAAGTGGTGTGCTGCTCGAAATCCTCCTCCCGCATACCGGCCAGATCAAACTCGCCGCTGGCCGACGACACTTGAGCCTCTTCGATCATGTTGCTAAATATTTGCCTGTAACAAACGCAAGAAAACAATATTAATCCATGAAATCTACGTGAATTCTTTCAAAGATGGCGTTACTTAACATAACCTATTTGGATTTACTTCACTCACTAGTAAAATGATAATTTTTTCCGGCTTAGATTTGAATCTCCGGAGGAAATGACGCGTGCATCGTTCGACGATCCCGCGCAAAGTGCATGCACTACTAACTGACATCGCGGGATGCACCCGGCGCCGCCGCCAAGCGCGAGAGAGGATAAGGTCAAAGGTCGGCGGCGGGTGCCGCGGGTTCGTGCACTGTTGACATTTGGAGCGATTTCGAGTGCACGCGCCCCCTCAAAATCTGAATATTTCGCATTATTGTAGTACACAAAATGGCGGCGTGCCAGACGATCAAATAGTCAAAATGGCGGCGGGGGCGCTGTCAAAATGTCAAAAGTTCGTGCTTTATTGAAAACTATTCAACCCAAGCCAACATCCGGTGGCATTTAGTCACACTTGAGGGAACATACCGCAAATGCAAATTCTGGATGCAAATGTCAGAGGGTGTGAGGGGGTTAACGAGCTATTAAATAAATCGTGGAAGTTTATTCAATTTCCAAATGCATCTGACCTTTAAAGCAGGAAATATTACAATTGTGTACAAAAGAATTAAATTTTTCGAATGTTTTGATCAGGAATTTCGAGTTTTGTGTGTTAGTGACGTCACGGGTTTCACAAACGACGTCATAGTCGATCGCTGACGTCATGACGAAGGCGGCACTCGAGTGCATCGCATCCCTCTCGCCTGCTCGCGCTTTCCGGGCAGGAGTGCGGATCGATACCGGCGCGCGGCGGCGGAGGTGGTGGCGGCGAGGGCGGCAGGACGCGCATTACTGACCCATATTTGCTTTCACTTGGCGAGCGCGCGCGACGCAATATCCTCGCGCCGGTGTATCCTTGACGTCCGCGTCGTTCTCTCCTAACCTTTCCTAAACCACCCTCGCTTGCGTTGCATCGCTACTACCCACTACCACCGCTTGCCGTTTTAATAATAACTCAAACTCAAACTCATCGAGAAAAGGCTTTCTCTTTTAATGCGCAGGATCGATAGGCAAATCACGAGGTAGATGATATTTATAAAATTCTATCTATAGCCTTACAATCGCGTAATCGTAACGTAATTCAACTTACGTGATAAACTGTTATATTATATTATAAATAAGGAAAAAATACTACTTACCAAGTATTCAGTCGTGAAATTGAGATGAATTGAGGATAATTAGTTACTAATCAGTTCGGTTTGCATCTTAAGCAGTGAAAAATCCAAAATCTGTAAAAAATAAACACAAAATGAATGAATAATTTTATAATTTAATTATTTTGTTACATAAATTCTATGTTTATTTCATCATAAAAACACAAAATCCAACGTAAAACTTCCGCATTAGCAAGGAAATCCTTGAATATTGAATTACGTGCACTATGCCTATACCATTGACATTGTACAAGTGCGTATCCGTAAACCAGGAAAACACACAAAACGCAAAAACGTGCATTTCGCAATTGTTTGCAAAAATTTTCGCAAAACATTTCGAAATAGGTTATCCAATGACGGCGTATTCTCACGGCGTCTATAAATAATATATAACGATATGTTTTCGCGCGCGATGCATCGCTTTTCTAATCGTAGCGCAGCGCAAAACATTTTCAAGTACACACATTCATGTTTATGTAGGCGAAATTACGACATTGACCAAGGTTCCATTTATATATTTTCGACACAATAATCCAACTTCTAAGCTACTCACACCTATGACACATGATTAACAGATGGCGCAGCTGAATGTCAAAAAATGTATGAAATAGAAAACTTAGTGTGTTGCGGGTTGCCTAAGGCGGAAATGTACGTATATTTAGTTGTGTCTGAATTGTGCAATTACGTTCGCTGGTTGCACTCGCAATCTCGTTTTGTGGACGGCCGCGCTTAAATTTTCATTCGGCACTAATAATAGTCGCAAGGTTAAAATGCACAAACTACGAGAGCGCATATTATACCAACTGCGACGCGCGCGCACTTTCGGTGCAAGTACTGCAATTGTAGTTGTGCTGACGTCAGAACGCGGAATGAGAACTAAACTCGACGAAAATTAATTAAATAATCAACTAATAAAATACCGCAATCAATAACAAAACCGCTCAATATTGCGTTTATTCGATCGTTTTTCGCTGTTTGTGCTGGAATTAACGCACTTTTTGATTGTTTCCGATGAAATTCATATTGCGAGTTAGCGTGAATAGATATCAAGTAACACCTAGTGTATCATCAACGCTCGTCCTCGCCTTTTAATAAAACCGCTTGCAACCTTGCAACCGTTTGGCACTAACCAGCGCGACCCTGACTAATCTTTCGTATCTAATTCCGCGCTATTTGGGTCTTGCAAGTGCATCAAATGCATCACACACGCATCAAATCGCGTATATAATAATAATTAACTAAATACTCTAGACATCCTTGTAGTTTAATGCCTCTTAAACATAGAGAATATTTTCCGGGAAAACCAATGCGTCTATTTGCGTTGGCTCGAATTAGTTTTTCACTTGCACTATACCATTGTTGGCATATTTTCGCGAGGAATAATCGCGACGAAAATAAGACGCAATTTGCAGCTAGTTGTCGCACGCCAGACGAAGCATTATCGCATCAACGAGATTAATTTATTTATAGTTTTTCCGCAGCGCACAGCAAATCATCAACAATTTTGCTGTTGACTTGCTAAACGATTTTTAGATAGTTTTCCATGTTTACAACTTGACTCATTGAGTCTCATCGTGTACGCTCGTCTGTTTTTTGATCATTTCATTCGCTTATCTCTGATAATAATACTCATACATTGTAAACAAATGTTTGAAATACATTACAAGCCTTTATTTAACACTAGTTAAAAATCTTCGCAAAATATAACGGAAAACAAAAAATTTACAGGCTGTAATAGAAAACTTTAGATCTTGACCTGAACGCATCCAGTTACGATTGCGACACACCGACAGTTACATCATGGCGCAACAAAAACAAAACAACATTGACTGGGAAAACGTCGATAACGAGCATGTCACATTGCATTCCGTTATGTGCGCCGTAGGAAATTTTTTCCAACTTTAATAAGGAGCCAACATAATACGTAGTAAATTTTTTCGGCGTTATTATGAAACCGGAAACGCCATGTGTTTTCATAGTAAAATAGTAAAGTGCATCGTAACCTTTAAATAATTAAACTGCGATCGATGGTAACAACGTATATTGCCTTCAAAGAAACGCCACAAACCCAAACAAACCACAATGTGCATCTATCGTGATCGAAAACACAACATTGATAACACATTCAATCGCCTCAATGTCGAATCAAATCGAAATATAGATAGAACGAAACATACTGTATGAAATAATAGCAAATGTATATCAGTATAGAGTTAGTTTAGTGCTGCTGCTATTGAAATTTTTAAATGTCATAGTTCAAGGCGAAATTGCACTCGGCAAATTGCCACACGTTGCCATATTGATATCATGATAGCGGTGGTATCACGGAAGTGCGCTGGGATGAAGGAGTAATGATTACCTTCGAGTGCGTCTTGAGGGGCAGACGAAGGACGATGAGTGTGAGGAGTCAGGGGCGTCGTTCGCCGCCGACGCCGACGGCGCGCGCCGCCATCTTGGATTCACTTTTGATCTCACAAGCTTAATGTCTCACAAAACACTAGATTCCACCGGAAGTTTGACTTTTTCAGCGGTGACATCCACAGATAATCAAGCTCACTTAATGATGAATATATTATTATCCTTTTTGCAGGATGACAATCAAGATTAAGTTGAATTTCACTCGGAAAACTTCAATGTTTATGTTTTTCAAGGACTCAAGTATAATGCAATGTCTTCAAGGAGAAAATTATGTAAATCTATAACTGTCAAGTCGTTATCCTTGAATATCCTCAATAAATATCCTTGGAAATAAGAGTCACTGATGTTTACGTTTAAATGTTTGTGTTTAAACTTGGAAAATTCACAGATAAATTATGGTAACCGCTGGTAACCACTGTTTTTCACCGCAATAATAAATGTTTAATATAGCACTGTAGTTATTATGGTTACTAATTAGTTAGTTGTGTAATTATTTATATAACTTGGCTTTTTTTTTCAACGTGTCGGATGCTGCGAGACGCGACGCGACGCGACGCGGAAATGCACCGGGTTAGTGTGGCGGCGAGATGCGATGCGCGTCGTGGCCGTGCCGCCGTCGATGTGCGCCCCCGAGACGCCCGACCTGCCGCAACACGCTCCGGCGTGCGGCCGCCGCTCGGGCGCACTCGTCCGACATTCGTGCATGCATCGAGTGCATCTCGTTCGCGCCCGCCTTCCGTCGCATGCAGCTTGCGCAGTTTTCGCGAGCCGACTCGCGGCGAGGCGCTTCTGATAAGAACCGCTTACAAATTCTCCAGTGACGGGCTAATAACTATCAAATTTTAGATAACTCTACAAATATTTATTACTTTACCAGTAAAAAAACTCAAATATTACCAACTTCCGGTTTGGGAATTTTAATAAAAATATTAAAATTAACTCAAAACTTCATATAATTAAATTTTTATCAATTAACAATCGAAAAAAATATTTTTTATTGAAAATTTGCTGATTTTTAAAATTTAAATGCGTGTGTAAATGCAGTGGGGATGTGAATCGCAGGGTTGAACGTCCCCGTCAAAACAAAATAAAAGTGAAATTACGCGCGGCGGGCAATCGATATTCGGCTGCACGCTGCGAAGGGGTCTTTGAACCCCTTCGAATGCATCGGGCATTGCAGCCTGCTGCAGCAGTGAGTGCACTTCCCTCCCTTTCACTGCGCGCCCCCGTGTGTGTGTATGCGTGCCGCACAAATGCACAACCAACTTCCAGAGTGCAACACCCTCGTGCGAGCAGCCGGGGAAGGAAAGGGAAAGGAGTTCGCGCTCATCCCTTCCAGGACGTCTTTTTCCAGGATGCGCCACTCGCGCACTCACCCCCGACAACAATTATGCCAATAATTTAATTCATTCATCACTACAATATCATTACTATCTACTACAATGTATCCTAATCTTCAAAAATTCCAAATCCAGTGATAAGACAACTTGTAACCTGGGGCAATAAGTTATTCACTGTGGTATTGATTTTTTCGTCTAGCTGATAACGTCAAACAAAAATTGCTTTCGCTTGCAATTCGGAGAATTTCGATGTTTGTATAGTGGCGGTTATCAGTGCTTATCACTTTCATTTCGCGTCGAATATAACGTACAATATAAATTTTGTGAAAAATATATTATTCGCAGTTAGCAACAGCAATGATATTCAAAAATTATAACATAGTTGCGTTTTAGAACTGCGTTTAGAAAAACTTTCCATGATTTAATTGAATTATTTGAGAATTTCTGAAATTTCGGAAGTTTTTTAATTGCTCCCAAAGTATTTCAATTTTTTCTCATGCCGATAACAGCTGATAACGCCATGCTAGATTATTTTCCACTTGATTAGGTGGAAAAAATGCGCTTTCAAAGCGAATATTTCATGCAATGTGAATTGTTTTGCGTTCTTTTGACGGCATTGGCATGCGGACGCATAGGGTGAATGCATCCCTTCTTCGCGGGCACGCGGAATGCACGCCACGGGCGGTTTTGCGGAAGGTTCGGGTTTGACCCCGCATGACCTGGGCCAACACTTTCCATGGTAACCGTCACGCGGAGCCGAGCGCCGAACAACGCGCAGCCTGCCAGCCAGAGCGAACGCACGATGACTGAAACTCTCGCGGATCGATTCGCATTCGGCACTTCCGTTCACTTCTTTCCGGAAATTGATTGCATGATTTGTTAATTCTCTCCCATCGCAAAAAAAATCTAAAAATATTTTTAAAAATATTTTTAAATTTAAATTAAAATTTTGGTGGAAGCGCCGGGCACAGGGATGTAAACCTAAGCCGAAACCAAAGGGGAATACTGTGTCGGTCGTTGAACCCGTGATCCCAATGTTGACGTCCCTTTCCAGACGCGCGGTCTATGCCGTGGCCGTGGTGGTGGCAGTAGAAAACCCCCACTCGCACCGGGGGGCGGTGGGAACGGAACAGTCGCGTGCCGAATGCAACTTGCAAGTGCAACAGCGCTGCCACCACCACCACCACCAAGTTCGCGTTCGTTGCTCTCGCAATTCACTAAACCGGCAAATAGTGAAATATACAGGAATTACAATCCCATCAAACAAGATCATCCCAGAGGATATCCTCCAACTAACCAAATGTACTGTATTTGCATCCCCAATGTAAATTATACAACTTCAACACGAAAGAAACCAAATTAAACCTAGTAATAAATAATTTATATTCGATTGCGATTCGATTAGGTCAATCGCAAAAAGTGCGCCGCGAAAAAATTCATTCAGTGTACGCGCGCGCGCAAAAAAAAAACTCGGCACGCGTGTACGCCACAGTGTAGGTCATATTGTTTTTAGGCCAAAAGGCCATGCGCGGCTCATTCACTCCGCGTGTGCGCATGCGCGACGCGCTGATGGTCAACGGCCGCCATGTTGGATGGTCATCGCGATTGGCGACCTGGATTTAGTCAATCGACGCACAGCACGTCGAAATTTCATCATTCAATACAAAAATTTCCAGAAAACTAAACAAAAATACTTTAATCTTCTTTCCATACATTTTTACATTTTAACAAAAGTGGTATTAACCCATTGAAAATTCAAAATTTTCAAATCCGTTAATCTTGACCATTCTTTAACAGAAAAATTTCTAGGTACAGCTAATACCTTAACACAAAATGATTGTTTGTATTCCAAGTTCACATCACTTCAATACCGTTCGCCGCATTGTGCATTTCCCTGCCACACGCATTCACGGCCGACCATTATGACGAGGAGACATAACGGTTAATGCAGGCATGAATGCACCGAAGACATGCATTTAGACAACTCGACGCGCTGAGTACCGAGTAATCCCTTGAGGTTTGAGGTTAGGTTTTGATTTCGACTATCTTGCATTACGCGCAGCCTCTTTATCGTAGTTATATTACACACCAGCATGCAGTGCATACATTATGATAACGTGCCCTGCGCGTCCTAAGTGCAGGTAATAACCTATCAGGTGGAGTGACGTTTTATGTCACTACGGAGCATGACTTTGGATAATTATATGCGTTTTGATAATACTGCAAGTTATACCGTTAGCTATAATTGTCTTTGTTGACGGCGCACTCACGAATTATTCGCAGTTAGTTCTAACCTCAATTTGCATTGACACATGTCAAAAATAAAAACCTAACCTATCGTAAAACGCATTAGATTTTTGTCCAAAGAGAGTTTTCATCTGCTTCTCGAAGTTTTCATATTGCATTGTGGTCTGTTCGGCACTTGTCGTTTCTGTTTTCTTTCTATGTGTAGACCACAAGCGCGACGTGCGCGCAAGAGTGTGTGTAACTTTTCTTTGGGATTAGTAGGACACTGGGTTAGTTCATCGACCTCGGCGTTTGTGTGTGTGGATATGCCCGTACCGACAACGCTCGGCCATCTCCTTCTTCGTCGTCTTCGCGCTCGTCTTCGCTGGTACGCCATTATAACAATTCATCATCTTCGCATCTCGACAACGGCCGCCCGTTATCGTTATTGTTATGATTGCCGATGGAAATCGAAAAACGCGCGAGTAAGAAGAAGGAAGCGATGCCATTCACAAATTTCGGCGTGGCGACCAGCAAAGGGATACCATGTAATTAATGGTCGTAAAAATTTTATCGCGAGAGTTGTGCACGAACAGGTCCATGGAGCTGGAATTTGGTTGCGAAATTTTCGCAAACCACACACATTATTCAACCGGAAATCACTCTCAGGTCATCCCTTCAAAAAATGAGTACATACCATCAATTTTAACCAATTCAGGGAGAAAAAATACAAAATTTCAATTTTTGCATTTCTTGACATTATGTGGTAAGTTTAATTTATTTGGTTCTGGTTGTATAAACCCGCCCGATGTACTTGACATCGAATAACCGAAGTGCGTACAATTTCGCGGTCGTTCGCGGCGAGAGTTCATCGCCCGCCGAAAAATTTTACACGTACGCATCGCACGTCCCAGAGCATTGGTACACCAGCAAGTCAGCGCCGAAAACGTACGCAATACAATTACCAATTCATTTTCGCATTTTGATCTTTTATCTCTAAAACACTCTAACATATAATTTCCTGAAGGTACCTACCTACCACCAAATATTTTGTTTGTTTCTAATCCTACGCATACATATTTGGAGGTACTCCCCCAACATTACACAACATTTCGCTAAGGATGTGTTTAGTGATGAGGTAATCCACAGGTGTTTGAAAAATGAAGAACCCAAATGAAGCAAACAATCAAGATGAGCAATTGGAAGCTGTCATGGTGAGCTCGTATGTCAAGCTCATTTTATAATTTTTAACCTTCGATCAGACATAAGAACAATCGCTAATAAATCATGGCGTATGAAGTATGAAGTTTAATTTCGGGGGTCAACGCTTCCCATTTTAGCATTTCAAATGACGAATACCAACCGCACCGCCTCTAATGATTTTTTTCTTTGCGTCAACATTAACATATTGAATTGAATTGTGTTCGATTTTCGATTATACCTTCGGAGCAAATCATGGGTATGAACACATGAGTGCTAGTTAAGTTTCAGTGTTGTTTTTTTGCGCTTGCTAGCGCTGCCACAGCCGGTTGGGAGAGGATTCGGCAACATACACAAATTCGGCTCGACGGCTCGACGTTTTCGGCGGTGCGGTAACTCGAGGTGAACGCACCGGCGTCGACGCCGCGGCCATGCACCTCGCAACCTCTCCTGGCGAAAAAAGTACCTTTAAAAATTCGCAATGACGCTAACTACGCCCGAAACAACGCCTCACCTCCACTTGCTCCCCATACCTTTCACAGTCAAGGTATACCTCATCCATTACAACCACAAAACGAAAAAATCAACAACCACTAAATGCCATAATGTCCGGGTATCGTATCGCATTTAACGAGCAGCGTTAACCAAATTGCGCAAATTGATGGTAGGTGCTATTTTATAAACGGTATTCCAGCATCCGTAATTAAAGCTAAGCCATATTAAAATTGAATGCGTTTAATTTACGAGTAATACCTGCATTTCAACGAGTTTACGTCCGTGTTTACGTTTGCTATTCCCGCACAGCCTGAAGGTACACCTCTAATAGGCGTGCGCGCGTCGGTGAGGAGTGAACAACCTGCTGTGATCATTTCACAGGTGTGAGCGAAACGGGCAACCCGCGAGTTCCTTGCACGCATAACGTGTCACGTGCCCGAAGACCCGGCCGAAGGAAATCAACCGCGTCACGTGTGATTCTATTTTCTAATTGATGGTATGCCACGGAAAACTCTTCCTGGTAGGCATACAAACAAACAAATCTTCAAATAAAACCAAAGGTACCACAAAATATTTGGTGGTAGGTCATTTTATGAAGACCTAGACCTTAACCCGGCTGGTTAAACTTGATTGTTGGATTTGACTTCCTACTTCCTTGATGTGTTGCATCAAGTGCAATCCTGTGCAGCTATGAATATGATTTTCTCCTCCGGTTGACGCGAGCGCGAAATAATTCTTAATTAACTTCATTAACAATTCTAATGTAAATATCGGCAGGCGCGCCCGTCTATCAGCGCGAATCGTAAACTCATGATTAAAGTGCGCTTACCTTTCGAGAGCCGGGATGCACGCAGATCGGATCCTTCACCAAGAAGTGGCCATTAGCTCGGAATGCGCGGCGGCGGACCCACACCCGGAGATGGTATTCCTTTTCCGGGCACTTGCACACACTGTGTCCTTCCTACTGCGTAAATAAATAAACTCTTCGACGCACTGTGCACAATAATCCTTAAATCCTTAAATCCTGCTGACACCGTATATTCCAAACACTTGGCAACTTTATTCACAAAGAACAGCAGTGCTGATTGAACACAATTGTTGACGTAATCACTCGCAAGGAGGTAGGTCCTCGCGCGCACCTCTCGTAATCCTCGAAGGTGCGAAGTGTTTGCGTACGGACGTGCGTTCATACAGTACGACCGTCTTGTCGACACTAACTGACGGATGGTGCGCGCTGTTAAACTTGACCGTGACTCTGTGTCTTCAGCGCTACCTGGCGGAAGACGCGGCAGCGGCGGAGGCCGTGGTGCCGCGCACCTCGAGAGACCTAACGGGAATCAGCGCGGCGCGCACACCAGGCTGAGCTGTGCGCGCAACCGCGGTTCGTTCACCTCCGAATATTATATTCGGCCTCAACTTGTTACTCCACACACCGGCGCACACACACGCAAACCTGACCCAGGAGCATACCAGGCGCAGCATCAGGGTACCACCAATCTTATACATACCCTTTAACTTAAACATTTTTCGTATGGTATGGTAATGTCTACTTCCTTAACATATCTGAAACAAAACATATCTGAATCAAAACAAAGTTTAAATATTCTAAAAGCTTTTATGCCACGCATTGAAGTCTCCAACTTAAAATACAGCTTATCATCAAAATGTATGAAAATTTTCATTTCGTACGTTGATACTTTCGATGTTTTCTTTGTTCCCATGCCGAAAATAAACGGTTATTTGAATAACTGTTCATCTTACACAAAAGCATCAATGTTGAACCTTGAAGAAAGAACGCGGCACGCACGAAAATTGATCACTCGATCACAGTTACGAATTTAATGCGAAAAGGTGAAGAAACTTTTTCGCGCTGATGATGAAACACTTTTCAGTTTTTAATCCAAGATTACTAAGTGTGACAAAAGTTCACAAATCGTCATCAGTGAATCATACTTTCATCAAAAAATTTTCATCAATATTTGACTAGAATTTCGTGATTCACATTTTGTTTTCGCACCAAGCGCCTCCACAAAACACTTTTGCCCTCATTGAATATCACATTCGGCGAATTTACGCCGGTTGCGATGATTTTTGGGTCACTTAAATGTTGTTTTGTTTACGACTTTAAAAGAAAGCCTTTCATCGACCTCAAACAAAACATAAACAAGTCAATAACTTACTGAATCATAACACATAACATAACTCACTGTTAATTTAAAGTAATTAACAATATTTAATCATTTTATTAAAGCTATAAATCATCACGAGTCAACTAATCGTAAAATTCGTTGTAAATTCGTAAATTTCAAATACGTGCGTGTGCAAAAATGATTTATTGAGGCTTAGAAGTTAATTGACCAGCCGAACCCAGATTGACTGATGATGTCGTAGATGCATTGACTTCGAAAATTTTGCGATTGTAAAATTCTCATGAGAAAAACACTTCTGTGGGTCATGTGGTGGTGTGCACAGTTAGTGTCCATAGTGTCCACTAGACTTCTCGAGAATTACGAACAAAAGGCGCTGACCAACATTCAGTATTTACGGTTAACCATCGCAAGACTCCGACGGGCATTTTCTGCCTATTGTGGGGTTGGTTTCGTTTCGTTCTGCATCGGTCATAAAACCGCACGATGCGACTACCGTTCATTTACAACACCAGCAACAAGTTGTGCGAAATGTGATGAATGGAAAATGTGGGCGCAGAATGGTCAACACATTTTCAGGATAGCGAAGATAAAAAAAATAAAAAGAAAGTTTGTGGAATGTGTTTTTGTGGTCAAAACACGCACCCTTTGGATGTTCTAACGCAGGTACCGTTAGCGAAGGGTAATTTTTCAAATTATTCATGCTTTCAAAGAAAACTAACCGTAAAACTAAAAAATCCCGTTAAATTAAAAAAAAATTGAAAAACTACCCTTAACGGTACAAAATTAAAATTAAAATGGAAACCAAAGAAAGTATTTCCTTATTTACGATTTATCTAACTGTACATTACCTACACACAATTTTTCAAATTTTATTTTAAGTTATGCAGTAAATAAATAATAACTAAATAACTGTGATTTCATGATCCGATGGTGTGGCATCATCGAAAGAAACTAATAGTCTAAAGTTTTTCCTTTAATTAAAACACGTCGAGATTGAAATTAATTTCGTTTCGAAACGGTAAGATACGCGCAGTCGTCGGGACGACGAAAAGGCAAGTTACAGTTACATTTAGCGGCATTAAATTAACTCAACATATCGGAAACCGAAGCAGTCGAAGGCATCGAAAATGTAACATTCACTTTATCATTTCGACACCGCACATAACACATGCGTTAAATTCGGTTTTAGTCACTCCGACAAAAAAAAACAGTTCATTGTACTCGCTGATGTGGTAGTCGAAATAAATTCACAAACTTCGGTGCGTTATTGTGCGACCATTGTTTGGTGATATGTTTATTATACGGATGCCGAACGCGCGCGATATCATTATATTCGAAATTTTGTATTTGAATTGAATTAGGTAGGTACTTAGTGGGCGCATCGCTCGTGGTTCACGCGCAGTTCGTTCACTTTTTGTGTAAAATTAAATTAGCATTACTTAAATTAAATGTACGCGCCGCGCGCGCGCAAAACTAATTAAATTGTAATGCTGCTGATAGAGAATGAATGGTTTTGAAGTCGAGCTTTACTGGTTACTCGCTTATGCGAGCGTTCAGTTCACCGAACTCAAATGTGCAATGTTTCAATCAATAAATTATTTTTGATTAAAAAAATTTATTTCTTGATGTAGATTTGTTGCTAGTTGTTTTTTTGGAGATTGTCCAAGTGAACCATTGTTGTCTGCGTTGTCCGAAGCTTGGCTTAGCGGGCGAGGTCATTAAAAGGCGCTTATGACGCGCGTAAAGTCGCTCGAAAGCTGCGGGCGAGACGCAAGATGCATCTTCACCTCAACCACAAAGCCAAAACCTACCAAATACTCAACAACAGGTCCTGTGGCATCGAAAAACTCGTCCGTACTTAACTTAACTTCACTTAAGTCCGAGATTACTTTTTTTTATGCTTTTTAACACTTACCTCGCAACGTTTTATTGCTTCAAGTGCAGCGCAGCCTGAAAATAAAAGCCAACATTAAGAACAGGAAAAACGCAAACAAAAACAAAACGAGAATGAAAAATGAGAAGATCAGAGCGCTGAAGGGCAAGGAGGGCGCGCTTTGGTCCTGCGGTTGAGGCTGGAGATACCACTGATGGGCGACTTTAAAGTGTCTGTGCTTGGACCATCCGAAAACCGAAAACTCAAGTCAACGAACTCGACAACCGCGAGAAGAAGTTGAGGCCATGGAAGAGGAGCGAAGAACGCTAACAAGTACAAGAAGTGAAAGAACTGTATTTAGGTTGACGGGCAAATGAACAAGAAGAACAAAACGCACAAAACAAAGAGTTTTCAATAAGTATCAATCATTAAAAATATGAAAAACTCAAAAACATAAAAATCTTCCTCAGTTCTCATTGTCATTATCATTGTCAGTGTCGATGTCAAATATCTCCTATCTATGTCCGCCTCCTGCAAATATGGTCGGTCGTCAACCTCGCGTCCGTAATGTGTTACGATATCCCCCCGCCACCTTCACTGTACTACGACCTACGTCCACTTTGCAAACTTGACGAGTTAAGTACTATCTTCATGGGTCCATCAACGTCGAAGACAAGGACGGTGCGCATGCGGAGTAGGTCGATACCATGACGATTGCGTCAGTAGGTGTAAAAATGTCGGCGAATCGAGGGCGAAAGGTAAGCCGTAAGGTAGTAAAATCAGAACGAAACAGAGTATGCCACCCGAAGGCGATGCGAACGAAGCGCGATACTTAAGTCATGCAAATGTCCACCGCAAGAACATGTGCGTAGCGAAAGCATGAAAGTACATGTTAATCGTTATCTACACAAACGCGCTGAATGTCGAATTAAGTCAATTTCCGATGTTAGACACATCAATAATATTTGACTTGACTTAAGTCATGTGATGGATATTTTATACATGTTACCACTTGGGTGGTTGAATATTTTTAAGTCAATTTTGCTAAATGTTTATTTTAACCCTACTCAAATGTAAAGTAATGTTATTTTAGTGTTTGGAGTTATGATGACTTAACTTGAGTCAAGTTGAGTCTAAGCCTAAGTGTGCGATTGTCTTTGGTGAAAATTAGGTCCGTGGAGTTCAAAGCCAGCTGAGGACGTTTGCCCGTGGTCTCGATTTCGAGCGTTCGTTGCTCTGCAATGCGATGGAAGCTAGCAAAATGGTTGGCAGTCGGTTCGTTGACCGAAAGTGCACACCGCGCGAAGAAGCGGCACACCACGGCGATGAGCTAGCCGGGAATTGCAACAACAAACGCGGCGCGCGCGACTCCGCGCTTGGCCAGAGTGTGGAACTAGACCAGTGGAACATGGAGGTGAGCGTCCTGACGTCACTCTCTGTTACCTACATCTTCGCGGCGCGAGTTCGACGAACTTTTCTCTCTTCCGATGGCCGCGGTGGAAACAAAACGCGATACGGTATTGTCGAAGATGGCGATAGACACACCGCGCGCAAAGTCATCATCCTGCGCGCGGTATTCATCATGACTTAAGACTTAAGTATTGTGATCTATGTAACCCGAAACTGTAAAAATATAACAGCAATGTCGGAGTAAACTGTTAACAAAGATTTGCAAGCTACAAGGCTAAAATTACGTCGTGCAAATAATTTTTTGAAAAAGATTTTTATCTAAGGTCACCAGAAATGACAGAAAAAGGTTCCAGGTTGTAAAAAAAAATTGCAAGACCTTCAGAATTTTGCAAGACTTTTATGTTTTACCGATCGTAAAAAATTATGCAAGGTGAAACCAATTTTTGCAATTTTTTTTATGGTACCTTTGCAAATTTCTTCTTCAAGGTCAAAAAACCATACAAAAGAAATGCTTTCTATTCCGGGAATACCTTCAAAAGAAAGATTTACTACACCCCTTAAACATTCGCTTTAAAAGTCAAAGTAAATCCAAAAGAATTCACTTAAATTAAGTCAAAAGTTAATTCTTAATCTGGTGTACCAGTAAATCACGATTATGTACCTGTTGTCACTGACTACGAATAAGAGATGTGAAGTTACAACTTGCGAATTGTTGTGCTTTATTACCCGATTAACTTCTTACCGCTTGGTCGGAGTCAGGTCAAATCGTGCCCTAGGGTACCATGGACAATAATAACATCACGCCAAAGAGGATTAGTCACGATTCGAACAGCGCGATCACTAAATCTCAATAAAACCGTACCGCCAGTGAATAAAATCACACAAGTCGATGCGAAAGATAAGAATGAATAGTTGCGGACAGCTCCGAGTCACTTAGTCATTCTGGGCTTTACAAATTAGTCAAGATGCGAATCTATTTCTTCTATAATCTTCTATACCTGTTGGTAGGTCATTTTTCTGCAGGTACCTGTTTGCAAAACGCCTACATTTTATTTAACTATGTGTTATGAAATGATGTTGTTTTGTATCTACGAGTAAATACCTATCAATTTGTTTTAAAATAAATTGAT